TTTTTTTTTTTTTTTTTTTAACCTTCATCAGGTAACTCTAATTTTAAGGGTTCAAAATAAGTTTTTTATTTCTTCTTTGTGTGTTTGCAGCAGTGTTAATATCATTAGGCATTAACAGACGTGATTTTTGCTACTAAGTCATTTGAAGTGGAAATTGGTCATAAAACGTCAATTCATAAAGTGGTAGTTCACAGAATTGTTATTTAGATATCTCAGTTATGTATCCCTTTACAAATGATCTTTTTTCATATATTTAGATGAAATCTATAAAGTCTCTTTCACATTTTCTTTTTGGTACTTACCATTTTGTTGTTGTCTAAGAACGACGACGGTCCACCCCTGCCCCGAAAGAGGAAGAAAAGGTGAACGAAGAGCAGTGGTCTCTTCGGGAAGTCGTTTTTGTGGAAGATGTTAAGAATGTTCCTGTTGGCAAGGTTTGTTCAAAACGTCTAAGAGTTAGTTACTACCAGAACTAGACCAGTATTGGTTATCCAAGAATTTATGGTTGGTGAGTGTTCATCAGCCCTTTCCTCAGAGCTGCTCCATTCCTCACCTTTAGTGAGCCCTTAGCCTGTTGCAGATAGCTTCTGTTGAATAGATGATTATGAGGCCTCTTCTTGAGTATTTATGGTGATATATTGCCTTTTTTTTTTTTAAGTGTTATTTTGGAAGAATTTTTGCAGAAAAATTGCAGAGATTATATTACTTTTTGATGCAGTCCATTTTTTGGAGCTATCAGAGAGTTCTGAAGGAGAGATCCTCTTCCATAACACTTAACAACTTCCCTTGACATTTAAAAATCTTACTGTCTTCAAGTCACTTCCAGTTTCTTTTCCCTTCTTTCTGGAGAGCGTTTCTTGCTTTCTAAGAAACCCAAGTGGGTAGAGTCCATCAGCTAAAATGCAATTTCACCTTTCTCTCCACACATACTGAAAAACAAAATGGAACTATATCTGCAAAGTAAAGGTTTTTCTGATTGCTCATTTGTTTCTGAATTGATGGTCTTTCATTTGTACTTTAGGGAAAGAGTAGATATGCCACGCCCTGCAATTTACAAAGGCTTTCTCATACATGATTCCATTTGATTCTCAAAATAGAACTGTAGCTTATGGGCAGGTGTTTCTTCTGAGATCACACTGGCTCAAAATCAGAAGCAGTTAGCATAGGTAGGACTCAAGTATTCTGGTTTCAAGTCCTGTGCTCATCTTTCTGTACATTGCTGACTCTCTACCCGTGCTGTTCAAAATGGTAGCCACTAGCTATATATGTGGCTAATTTATTAAAATTGAATAACATAAAAAGTTAGCTCCTCAGTCACATCAGCTCCATTTCAGGTGCTTCATAGCCACTTATGCTAATAATGGTTACCATATTAGGCAGTGCAGATACGGGACATTATCATCGTCACAAAAGTTCTTTCACACAGCGGGGCTCTAAACTAGTAAAAAGCATAATAAGCTTTTTTGGGGGAGCATTTCATGGGTTATACTTAATTTTTATAGCTGGTTGCTAAACATCCCAAAGACTGTAAGCGCTGGCTATGTGGGTCAGTATTTCTTTAGAAAATAAGTCTCAGATACAAACATCAACAATAAAGCTTTGGTGAGTCTGTTTAGGTACCCCCCCCCCCCCAGTTCAGGTTAATTTTATAACTTGGTGATCATTAAAGAAATAGAAGAAATTAAATGCCTTCAGTATTAAATTAGTTCAGTGAACATAATTTGCATATTAATTTCATATAAGTCGGTGGTAATATTCAGCATATTTACCTGTACTTCCAGGTGCTAAAAGTGGATGGTGCCTATGTTGCTGTAAAATTTCCAGGAACATCCAATAACACAAACTGTCAGAGCAGCTCTGGATCAGATGCTGACCCTTCTTCTCTCCTGCAGGATTGTAGGTTACTTAGAATTGATGAACTGCAGGTAGGTGTAGAGGGATCACTCAGCAGGTGAATGTTGGCACTGACGACTTGAGTGTGTTATGGTTTCTGAGAGCAAGGTTCCTTTTGTGACATGCAGGTTGTCAAAACTGGCGGGACACCAAAAGTTCCTGACTGTTTCCAAAGGACTCCTAAAAAGCTTTGTATACCTGAAAAAACAGAAATATTGGCAGTGAATGTGGATTCCAAAGGTAAAGATTTTGTAACATTTTCACCTGACATACTTTATATCCTATTAATATTTGTGTAGTAAATGGTTGTAGGCTAGGAGCTGCCTGGGTGGCTCAGTTGGTTAAGCATCTGACTTTTGATTTCAGTGCAGTTCCTGATCTCAGAGCTCATGAGATAGAGCCCTGCATCGTGCTCTATGCTGACAAGGTGGAGCCTGCTTGGGATATTCTCTCTCTCTCTCTCTCTCTCTCTCTCTCCCTCTCTCTCCCCCCCCCCCCCCCAAATAAATGAATATACTTTAAAAAAAAAAAAGGGCATAAAATAAGTGATTTGGGGTGTTTGGAAGTTTTGTTCCTTGTGTATAATGTTATGGAATGAGATAAATCACATTTCACATGTGACCAGAGATGTTAAAATTTGGCAGGTACTTACTGGAGGTTATTAAAGATGCATAAATTTTTTTTTTACATTTATGTGTTTCTGAAGGTGTGCATGCTGTTTTGAAGACTGGGAATTGGGTACGGTACTGTATCTTTGATCTTGCGACAGGAAAAGCAGAACAGGAAAATAATTTTCCTACAAGCAGCATTGCTTTCCTTGGCCAGAATGAGAGGAATGTAGCCATTTTCACTGCTGGACAGGTACTGAGGCTTAACTTTTACTTGTGAAAACTGATGGGACAACATTGGCATTTTTGTAAAGCCTAAAGTTGGGCTCTAATTTGCTTGTTACTAAACTACTGAAGAATTTAGAATATCAAGTACAATTAATACTGGGTTTCTTATTTGGTTAGCATAATCTAATATGAAAATAAATATACCTGTTGTAAAAATCAAAGATCCATTTTTGATTGGGAGCCAGATTTTATTGTTTTCCCTCTATTATAGGAGTCTCCTATTATTCTTCGAGATGGAAATGGTACTATCTACCCCATGGCCAAAGATTGCATGGGAGGAATAAGGGATCCTGATTGGCTTGATCTTCCACCTATTAGTAGTCTTGGAATGGGCGTGCATTCTTTAATAAATCTTCCTGCCAATTCAACAATCAAAAAGAAAGCTGCTATTATCATCATGGCTGTGGAGGTAACTTGACTTTTGAAACTACTTGACATTTTAATTCACATGATACTGCTAGAAACTAGGGAAACCAATCAAATAGATTATTTGTTGACCCTTCTCTATAGGTGGTAGGAGTTTATTAAGACAAGAGAGATGAGTGAACCGTAGATGGCAGTGTAAGTGTTTGAGTTAAGGCGTGCACAGTGCTGTAGGAGCACAAAAGGGAGGGATGTCAATCAGACTGTGACTATAGAGAAGGCTTCTCATAGGAGGCGATGCCTGAACATAGATAGCTTTGCATAGTCAGGGGTCTCCTGGACACAAGGTGAGGGCGGGAAATGTTATCCTTGGTGCCAAGTCTTTGTGAATCTTAATGTTTTGGAAGACCACGTACATTGTTGATATAAACAGAAGGTAGGGCTTATATGGGTCAAGTGAGTGGCAAGTGCAGAGACTGGAGAAAGGCACTGGGGTACCTGTGTGCTAACCTAAGGGGTGTGAGCTTCCCCCTGAAAGCTAGGAGAAGGATTTTAAACTGGCTTTTTAAAAAAGGATTAGCAGTGGGTGGAGAACAGAAATGTAGAGACCAGATAAAGAAACAAAGTAAGCTTGAAATCTTGGAAATGAAGAAGAGGGAATGGATTTCAGAGTTCTTAAGAAAGTAGATTCTCTAAAGCTTGGTGCCAATCTTCAGCAATAAATGAAAGGAAGGAGTTATAAAGCTTCTTACTTGGGTGTGGTTGGTGGGGAGAGGAAAAATAGGAGGAATAAAATGAATGCTGGAAGAGGATGAGTTTAGTTTTGAACATGTTGTAGCTGAGGTGTGTATTAGATGTGGCGGTGGTACCACTGGAACTTATTGGAGCAATTTGAGTAGAGATTGACCTGATTTGACTTAACATTTTCACAGGATTGCTGCTGACCTGCTGAGAATAGTAGGGGACGGTGTGGAAGTAGGGAGGCTTGTGAGGGGGGCTATTGAAACAGTCCGGGTGGGAGGGGAAGGTGGCTTGGCCCAAGAAGTAGAGCTGTGAGGGAGAAGGGATTCATTCAATTCTAGGTATATTAGATAGGCTGACGGTAGAGCCAACAGGATTTGCCAATGGCTCAGTATAGGGTGTCAAACAGAGGAAGTAATAAGGCCAAAGATTCTGAAGGAATGAAGTTGGCATTTATAGAGATGGAGACTAGGGATGAAGCAGATTCAGGAGGGAGGAGGGGCAGACAACAGGAATTTGGTTTTAGACATGCAGAGTTTAAAGTGCTTGTCAGATAGGTATCCAAGAGAAGGTGGTAAATAGTTAGATGTGTAATTCTGAAGACCCGGAGCAAGACGGAGAATTAGACATAGGAGCCTACAGTACATCTGTGATATTTAAGAGGAATTACATGGAATGAGATTACCAAGGTTGTGGAGAAGAGGTCTAAGGACTGAGCTGTCAGAATAGCATCAGCATGTAAATACAGGGAGATAAAGAGGAACCTGCATAAGAGACTGAGAAGGAGCAGCATCCATGGGGTTGGAGGAAAACTAGAGTGAGTGTTGTCTTGGAAGCCAGGTGACAAGCATGTGTCAAGTAGGATGCAGTGATCAACCATGTCTGGTGATGCTGTGGGCCAGGCGAGGCAAGTGCTGAAGAGTGACTGGGGATTTGGCTCCATCTGGGTCATTCTGGACAGTAGGGATGAAAGCCTGATTAGAGTGAGCCATGGAGAAAATGGAAAAAGAACTAGAGATCAATATGGACAGCTCTTGTGAGGAGATTTTCTATAAAGGATGGAAAGTAGAGCTTAGTATGAGGGCTTATTTACCCTTTATTAGGTTGGAGGTGAAAGCAACTTGTTAGAATTGCACCTAAAGTAGTCTGAATCCAGGTACTCCTGAGAGCTTCCTGTGAGCCTTGTGTATAGAGACACAGTGCTTGTATTCTTAGTTTAGTTTTGATTGCAACCTACTAGACTAGAGGTTATAGACTGGTAGGGGTATGATTCAGGAGGTGGCCATGGCCTGAAGTTGGCCTCTAGAAATAACCTTCATATCATTTTAAAATTCGTAATTGGTTGCCAACATTTAAAAACCACAGGATTTATTTTTAAAATCCAGATTTTTAATTCTTAAAAAATGAGAATATCTGGTAACATTGGGCCACCATAAAGCCATTAACGTGTCCCCTTTAGAGGCTGTATGTGGTCTCTCCAATTTATTGCAGTTCCTGATACTTAATTGCTTGGAGTCTAAATGTTGCCATTTATTTATGATGCAGTTTATGTTATCTTTTTACCCCCAGCCTCCTCCGCTCATTTGTATTACTTCAGATGCATCTGTAGGCATTTGGTTCTGTGACCCCTGCACTCTGTCAGCATCTCAAGGGTAAAGATAAAATGTGTCGACATCCCATGGGTAGGGGTAAAGTGTACCATCATTTATCTTTGTACCTCAGCGAGCAGGGCTTGGTGCACAGTAGACCTGCAAGAAATGTTTTACTGAACTCTCTCTGCCTTTTGCTGTAAGAATAAGTGACAAATACAATATATAGTGATGCAGAGTAAACTCTTTTGCTTCTAACACAGTCATTGTGGTATTGATAACTCTCAGGGTGAGAGCCCATATAAAGCAGGTTGGAGATAAGGGTTCCCTGTAGCTTCTTCCAACCGAATGACTGATTGGCTGTTTGAAAACATTTTATGTCACAGAGTATGCAGCAGAATATCTTGACTTTATTTACTTTCAAAAGTAGTGTGCTTTTTATTCTTGGGAGAGACTTTGACATATTCTCTTAGCGTATTAATTACTGCATATATGTCACTGGACTTGGGCAAGTTTAATCTTGTGTGTCCCACCTCATACTTTTGAATTGGAGCTTACCACGTATGGGGTCACCTCAGAGTCTTAGTGCGCAATCACAATAGCCTATCTCAGGTACTAAAATGTGGCAAATACTGGAAATAGTTTAACTGTATTTTTTGTCTTGCCTCCACCCCTTACCCACCCCTCCATACACTTTGGGGGAGGGATGGGATATTTAAGTACTTTGGGAGAGAAGTGGCAAGTTGTTCAAATGCACCTTTCTTCTTCCCTTTGTATTCCCGAACACTCTTTTCCCAGTTCTTAATTCTAGTTGAAATTTACAAGTTCATCTGTAGTCCAAAACTAATGCTTTATATTTAGTCCAATAAGTGTCCCTTAACTGTAGCGTTACATTCTGAAAGAAGTACATTTGAACTCCTTGATATGTTCATGCTGTGTCTTAGTCTGTTCAGGTTGCTATAGACTGACTGGCTTATAAACAACAGAAATTTCTCACAGTTCTGGAGGCTCGAAGTCCAAGATCAAGGCGTGGGCAGATTTGGTATCCGGTGAGGGCCCACTTATTGTTTCATAGACAGCCATGTATTCTCATATGGTGGGAGGGGAAAAAAACTGGTTTTTTTTCAGCCCCCATTAAGGGTATTAATCCCATTCATGAAGACCCCACCCTTGTGACTTAATCATTTTGGAAAGGTCCCACCTCCACACACCATCACATTGGGGAATAGGTTTCAACATACGAATTTTGGGGGCCGTAAATCTTCAGTCTATAGCATGCTGTTTCTCATGTAATTAATGACATGTTCTATAAATTATTAATGCTACCATGTCTTTGACAATGAAGTTACATTAGTTGTAACCTCTGAGGGATTGCACCTGTCGTGGTTTCTGGGGAAGTTGAAGGTATTGGTTTTCATGTACTGCAGTGTGATACAACGTTTATGAGCATAAGGGGGTATGTGTAAGCCTGTATAAAATACACAGAATGTATACCCTTTGCTTAATTGGTTAATAGTACTAATAGGGTTCTAATTTGATAATTACGTAAGAAATAATATAGACCAGGTGTCGGCAAAATGACCTGCTGGCCAGATCCAGCCACTCCCATTCATTTGTGTATTGTGTATAGTGGCTTTCCCACCATAGCCGCAGAGTTGAGTTAGTTGCAAAAGCTGAAAATATTTACTGGTCCTTTACAGAAAATTTATATACCCTTCTCTATTCCTGTGAATTGTACATTCTGCTTAAAGGGCACCCTTAATTTTAACTCCTTTGGCAGGCTACCTGAAATTGTCTCTCCTTACTTGCAGAGCTGATTATATTATTATGTTTTTTTACATGTGTGATGTGCTATTCAAATTCATTGAAGTTTTTTTCGTAATTTGTCTGAGCACAGAAACAAACCTTAATGCAGCACATCCTACGCTGTGACTATGAGGCCTGTCGACAATATCTCATGAATCTTGAGCAAGCGGTTGTTTTAGAGCAGAATCTACAGATGCTACAGACGTTCATCAGCCACAGATGTGATGGAAACCGAAATATTTTGCATGCTTGTGTATCAGTTTGTTTTCCAACGAGCAATAAGGAAACTAAAGAAGAAGAGGGTGAGAATAAGAACTATAACCAGGTCTTTAAAAGGAATCTTAGGCAGTTTTGGGGTACCTGGGTGACTCGGTTATTTAAGTATCCAACTTCGGCTCGGGTCATGATCTCACAGTTGGTGAAGTCAGGCCCCACATCTGGCTCTGTGCTGACAGCTCAGAGCCTGGAGCCTGTTTCGGATTCTGTGTCTGCCTCTCTCTCTGCCCCTCTCCTGCTCACACTGTCTCTTTCCTTCAAAAATAGATAAACATTAAACTTTTAAAAACAATAATAGGAATTTTAGGCAGTTTCGAAAATAGAACACTGAAAAGGAAATTACTATGAAGAATTTGTGTGTACTTTTTCTGTTTTGTAAAATCTAGGAGTTTTGACATTTCTTAGAAGGTGAAGATGCCCGTCTTCTTATTAGGATGAGTATGTAACATAAGCCAATAAATTTTTATCCATGTGTTTTGTTGTCTTGAATTCTGTTCTTTGATAAATACAGACATTATATGCAATGCTTAAAATGAGATTTAATGATTTTATAATAACAGATGACTTTTATTACCATGAGAATTATGTAACAAATTAAGGCAAGTTATATTGAAGCCATCTTTATCCCAGTTTTCATAATGTAGAGGGAAAAATAACCTAGTGAGTTATGAGATGTTTTTGGAAAAATAAGGTTTTTTGCCATAAAGGTTTTAGTTGGCTACATGAAGGGGAAATCTGAAAGTCTAAAAGTGCAACTGGGTGATTCATAATGTTTTTCTTGATTTTGAATTCTGCCAGTGACATTGTGTGGCTGCATTTTTGAGTGGTGGTTTACTTCCTTATCATTAAAGGGGGATGAGTAGTATATAAACCAAGACTGAGGTACCGAATTATGGGTCTTTTTCTCCCTTGGTAGTGAAAGCTAGATTTCAGTCTACTTATGAATCATCTTATGTTTGACCTTTGGGGGTTGAAAGTTAAGGCAGAATAAGGAAATAACTCACATATTAAAAATCATAGTTAAATCTGTCTTCAGTGTCTGTTGCTCTAAGGAGGAAAAAATTAAGCTATTCATTATCTCTAGTATGTGAATTAGAGCACTAAAGTACAGAGTAGTTAGCATTTAATGGCCTATACATACTTAATCTCTTAATTATTTTTGAAGTTTAAATTAATCCTAGTTTTTTCTCTTGTATTTCAGAAGCAGAGCGCTCTGAAAGAAATACATTTGCAGAAAGGCTTTCTGCTGTTGAGGCCATTGCAAATGCAATATCCGTTGTTTCAAGTAATGGCCCAGGTAATCGGGCTGGATCATCAAGTAGTCGAAGGTAATGTGATTTTTACCAGGAAAGTTTAATTGGCGGAAACAGAACCCAAGTTCAGAAAAATACATCTTTCACCTATCATTTGCATGAATTGACAGGTCCTTTTGCTTTGTTTTTGTTCCTCCAAATATCACCCTGGGAAAAAGATCTGATAATATCTAATTAGATTTTAAGTATAGAACAGTAGGACCTAGGATGCTTCAGAAACTTGAGATAATTTAGGCATATAGTTCAACCTTGATCCTTTGGATGTATTTTATCACCCTTGTTTCCTAGGAAATTACTTTCTTTAGTTGGAGAACAAGTAATAACAATAATGGAAAGAATTTCAATCTTTTATTTTCAGACTACTTATTTAGATCAATTTCTCAGATGTCTTAATGATCTGGGAAGAAACGAAAGGCTGGTGTGTATTATGAATGTTTGGTATTTAAAATTTTCAGCTCTCTGGGCTGTGGGATGGACAAACCTTAATAACATTAAAAATCACTAGGTGTTTGAATAGATGAAGAATATAAAGAATTCAGGATATAGTTTTTTTTTTTCTTTCCTTTTCTTTTTTTTTTTTCTGAAGGAAAAAGCACATGTATATTAGACACGAGAGCCAGAGTTCTTGGACACTTGACAGATCACTGACGGAAACACTGCTCTCTGTGCTAATGTGATAGGTTGTAAAGTCTACTTAAAGTGAAGAGTCTCTTTGCCTATTTTCTGTTCCATATCCAACTTTCCCTTTAAAAATGATTCTTCTAAAATTGGTACCAAGTTGATAGCTTCCCAGGTTCAAAAATATCCTGAAATGAAATTTATCAAAAACTATGGGTGACCAAATTGTAATTTAAAACAGTACAAAGACCTTATATAGACGATACAAAATGGAAATTATCACCAGCTTATTTGTTTAGGACTACACTAGGCAGACAAAGTGTTTGGTCTAAAATGGAAAGCAACTTAAATTCTTCTTGAAGAAATTAGTGTCTGAATTATTTCAGGTATTTCATTTCCTCAGGGAAAATACAGGTGCAGATCAAGTTGGACTCTGATATGGTTGGTCCAATGCCAGTGCTGCCATCTTTTTTTCATGTAAGGATTATTTTGAAGGCAAAGACTAAAAGGAGCTTCAAGAGTGGGTGATGTGTTGCTCACAGAAATAATTTGCAGAGTAAGCTCCTTTGAGGCATTTGCCGAAGATTTCACTGCAGTGCTCTTAACCAGTTCAAACTCAGGGCTGCCGGTTGAACAGATGAAAGCACAGGAGTCTTATTATCCACGCCGGGCAGTAGGAAGTCCACAGACTCTGCTTCATTGAAGTGAAACCCTCCTCTAGCCTACAATGGATTTTCTAGGCGATGCCCCTTGATGAGTATGCAGGCTGGGATTCATGAGCTGTAAGCTCAAAACTGATGCAATTTCAATATTGAATGGAGTACTGTTAAATGTCTTCAGATGATGATTTGACTCAGAAGTTTTGTTATGTGACTCATAGTTCCTGAGTACAAAGGGCAGATTTAGTGGAAAGCTTGATTGATGCATCTGATTGCAGGTGTATGTACTCTAGAGATTGTTAATCTGGAAGACACATGACCTTCGCTTTTTTGTCACAGTGGTATGTTTGAACATGACTGGATTCTAAGGCTTCTGTAGCATGGATATAACGTGCTTACAAAGAGGAAATTACATCATCCTTGAATTCTTCCATATTGTCAGAAAATACGATGACTCCAGGCAAGCCTATCGAAGAAATGTCAAAACTCTGAATCTTAGCAGCCAAGGTGGTATCTCCTCAGTATTGTCCTCAGCCACTGAGGATACAGGTGAATCTTCATGAATTGTGTACAACATCTTGAAGAATAATTTTCTTTTTTTTGTTTTTTGTTTTTTGTTTTTAAAGAATCTATATGAGGAGCTGGGCATTGTACTTAAAAATGTTCCCAAGACCTAATGAAGAAAAGAGGTTAAGGACAATTTTTTAAAATGACAAAGGAATGACCCCCTCATTTAATATTGAATTGACTACATCACAACAACAGAGTTGGGAGTTTGCAAGTTCAAGATGAGACTATGGTCTCCACTTATCTTCATTTTATTCTTAATCTGCTCTAAGCTAGAGGTTGGAAAATAGCCCACATATGTTTTTTGGCCTGTGCACGGTTAAATTTTTTTTTTTTTTTCTTTAAAATTTGAATGCCTTCACATGAGCATGTATGCTTCTAGTTTGCCATTACTCCCCATTTCTTACACCTGACTGCCCTTTCCTCAACTGATACTGCCTTCCAGGCCCAGGAGGCATTGAGTTTGTGACCCTGATGTAAGCATTCTTCTTAATAGGCCCCAAACATGTATTTATTTTCAGGTTATATGCAGTGCCTCCCAGCTACTACTGATTTTTTTCTCTATTTTGAGTAAGACACATTAGGATACCAAGTATATATATTGAGCTTAAAATTGTATAGGAACATCACAATGTGAACAGTCACCCTGGTGTGTGCTGTTAACTGGTAAGGAGACTGCCTTTCTCTGTGGGTGATGTCTTCGGACAGGGAAGTGACCTCGACTGACATAATCCCTATGTCCTGTTCCCCTCCATATTATAAAAACTCAGATATCTAAATTGCGAGAGAGAAGGTCTCGATACCATAAAAGAATTACTTGTAGGTATTTTTTGATAGTGAATACTATAATAACTAATACATTATTTAAGACATTAAAATTTACTTTGCAGAATCTTCCAAAGAATGTTTCTGTTCCCAGAGGTATATCGTCATACATAAGCTTTATAAAATAGATGTGTTCTTGAAAGTAGCCTCTAAAGGAAATTTTTGTAAAAGTTTTAGAAAATTTGTCCTTTTGAAATTGAAAGTGTATCAATATGGAAAAACACATTTACCCTCGGATTACATAACAATTATAATTAGAAGATTCAAACATTAATAAAAATCTTTCTAAATTACTTATTTGTAGACATATATATAATGCTCACCTGGTAAGGTGGTAGGTCTTTCACATCAGAGAAATGTTGTGTCTGGGATTAAATCTGCATGGGAGAATGAAGTCCCTTATGTGTTGCCTGGCCCTTATAATTGAATTTTTAGTCTTTATTCATTTAGAAGCTCTAAAATTGTGGCTGACGGAAAGGATTTGCCTCATATGCTCTCTCTTTAATTGCTGTTAGTTCATAATGTGTTAATTTTGTAGGCTTTGTAAGCTTTTATTCAGAGGTATAGATTTTTATACAGGTAGTTACCAGTTCCCCTAACAAGGTCTGTGTTTGTGATTATTTCCTTTTCTTTTTAGTGATGTGCACACCTGTGCAGTATTTTTTTTTCTTGTATAGCAGGAGGAAAAAAAAAATCACGCCCAGACATTAATCTAACACATTTTATAAGCTCCAGTTGCATTAAATTCCTTGGGATACAAATTGTACTGTTAAAAAAAAACTCCTTTTTTTTTTTTTTTTTTTTTTTTTTTTTTTTTTTTTTTTTTTTTTTTTTTTGGGTATAAAAAATAAATCTAAATTGGTCTTTGTTTTAAAACTACTCACTGTGTGGACATTAGTTTAATTGTTTTTGAGATCACAGCAAAGGGATTTTATTTAGTGGGCTAACAATATTGGTTTTGTGCTACTTAGTATGTTTGCTGATGTCTATTATTAAACTTAATTCTCACTGATTATAAACAGGGGACAGAAATTTTTTTGTCTTAATGTTCAGCTGTTCATTTACCTTAATGTATGAAAGATTATTTTCTAATCTTCACCGTAAGTTTTGTTCCCTGTGCTTAAGTTTGTGTGGGAGCTTAATATAGTGGTTTTAGTGCTGAACTGGGTACTAGGTGCCCCCAGTTTCATTTCTATCCCTCACTGACTTTGTGATTCCAGAATTGGCATTTGTACTTCACTTCCCTTGCCTGGAGTATTTGCTTATAGAACAAACTTTGATCTCAGATGAGTTCTGTACACCTTTTCATTACATTTAGCCATGGTAGTGAGCTCTGATTTTGTCCATGTTCTTCTAGTTTGAGGTTACGGGAAATGATGAGACGTTCGTTGAGAGCAGCTGGTTTGGGTAGACATGAAGCTGGAGCTTCATCCAGTGACCACCAGGATCCAGTTTCACCCCCCATAGCTCCCCCTAGTTGGGTTCCTGACCCTCCTGCGATGGATCCTGGTAAGATCTGTTATTTTATTTAGTGTTTAGCAAAAAAACAAGGTCCTGAGAGAAAGGAAATTGAACACTTGAATGGGATATTTAGAAATCTGAAGTATTTAAAAGTAGCATAATGAGCAAATTGTAACCAGTTTAGTTGCAAAGATTTGGTTTAAGGGGTTTATAACTTAAAAATTAAAATTCTAGAAACTGTTTTATTGAGATAATATATTTCCACACTGGCAAGAAGCTAACTAGTAATACATCATAACAAGTCAATAATTCAGAGGATTCCTTCTCTCATAATTTGGAAAACAAGTTTCCACTTAAACCTCTGTCCGATTTGACCTTTGGCTTGCAGAGAAAAAGCCTTAAGGCCAGTTAAGAGAAAATGTTAGGGATATGTTGCCTATAATGATGTACATCCTGCTGTTCTGTTTACTGAAAGATGGTGACATTGATTTTATCCTGGCCCCTGCTGTGGGATCTCTTACCACAGCAGCGACTGGCACCGGTCAAGGACCAAGCACCTCCACCATTCCAGGTGAGAATCTGTACTATTTTATCTGCCTAGGCATTTGGGTTTCTACAAAGCCACAATTTATCTCAATGAGACTTACCTTGGCTTGAAAAACATCTAATTCTCTGAATTAGATCTTCATATGTCAGTGAGGTTGTAGTGTTGTAAAATCATTTGGGAGTTGTAAAATGTGTTGTGTTTAAATTCTGTATAATGAAATTAGCAGTTTATTGCTAATACTAGAATATTTTTCTGTTGGTTTATTTAATGGTTCCTTGTTAATGTTATTTCAGAATATTCTTTTCACTCTTGTTTACTCTTGTTACCAAATGGATTTGCTTAATTACAGGTCCTTCCACAGAGCCATCTGTAGTAGAATCCAAGGATCGGAAGGCCAATGCTCATTTTATATTAAAATTGTTATGCGACAGTGTTGTTCTGCAGCCCTATTTACGAGAACTCCTGTCTGCCAAGTAAGAAGTTTAATACACTTTTTTTAATGAATTTTTTTCTTCGATCTTTATTTATTTTTGAGACCGAGAGCGTGAGAGTGGGGAAAGGACAGAGAGAGAAGGAGACACAGAATCTGAAGCAGGTTCCAGGCTCTGAGCTGTGGGCGCAGAGCCAGATGCAGGATTTGATTGTACAAACTGTGAGATCGTGACCTGAGCCAAAGTCCGCCGCTTAACCGACTGAGCCACCCAGGCGCGCCTAATATGCTTTTGATATGAAGATCTAGCTTAGCTCCTTTTACTGTTTAAGTTGATGTTGCAATGTATGGGCAACAGTTATCTTATGTGAATTTAAACTAATTGATCAGAATCTAGCATTTATTCCCTCTGTAATTAACTAAGCTCTCTTCAATGAAAGACATCAGTATAATACAGTGCACACTAAATGAATACAAACCAATTTTACGTAAGTTTGATCAGGAGGTGTGTGTGCGTGTGTTAAAAAATCACAGCATAGCTATTCTCAAATGTGAATTCATAAATTCCATCACTGTCACCTGGAGAACTTAAAAAATTATACAGATTCTTCCCCAAACTTTGCAGCAAAAGTATGACTCAGTAAGTCTGGGATGGGGCCTGGAATCTGTATGCTAAAACTCTGTGGATGATTCTGATGGTTTCTTTGGAAATCTTTTTGGACTTGCAAAATCATGATGAGATTATGAAGTTTTTGATAAGTATTATGTGATAAGTGCTCACTAACCATTGACAGAGTATAGCTCTGCTTTCAGCATGATTGTTTATGTTCCTTTACAAATTCATAACAATAAGCATTTTTATAAAAGTTAGCTCTTATCTGTGCCAAAGGATTAACTCTTCCAATTCTAGCAATAGCTGTCTGGAGTAGGTACTACTATTCCCATTTTATATTTGAAGAAATGGTCTTAGAGATTAATTAAGCCACTCAGGGTCACAAAACTAGTGAGTGGCTGGAATTCCATCCGTGGTCCATGTCTTAATTCCAGAACTGAGACTCCCAGGCATCACCCTTAAGCAACCTCTCCATATTTAAGTACAAGAAGGTGTTTTGAGTTTTTTATTATTAAGGGCAAGGGGATTTTTGTTTAAGCCTTATTGACCTTAGGCCATAATGAACATAATTTGTGAACTTACTACTTTAATGAAGGCCACCCCCGCTAGTAAAATAAGTCACTGACTTGGAAATAAGTTATTATTACAGAAGAAGCTTACTAATTTATTAGTGGTTTGAGGCATAGGTAAAAATGGTATATATGCCAATATATTCTTTCTGTTTCAGAAAGGTATATCTTTCTATTGTTATTTCCTCACTTGAATTTTTGGTGTTTTTTAAGGGTATTATCTTTGTACAATTTGTTCAATCATTTGGTGTTGTCTCAAAATTCATTGAAAGTTCTTACTTCCTTTCTCTCTATTTTTAATCCATTTTGCATTTCTGCAGTGTGTTTCTAGTTCACTAGTTATTTCAGTGCCCTTTCAATAGTAGTTGCTTTCCCCCAACCCCTTTTCTGAGAAAATACATGAACTATTTGGAAAACACTGAATACGTCGTTCTATTAATAAGCTGGTACTGTTGATGACAGCTTTGAAACAAATTAGAGGAAAGGCAAAGTTCTTTTGCCCTTTAGTTGATAAGCATAGGAATTCTCAAATTGGTCATTTGTTTCCTTTTTTATATTACACATATAGGAGAATTTCCTGGAGTTGCTAATAAAATTTTCCAAGTGGTATAACTGGAAATTGGTTACCATACAGATGACCCAGTTAAGAAAGGTTCTTGGCTTTAATTGTATTTGGCAATATATAAAGTATTAGGAGAATACTTCAGAGCATTGAATCTTAGTTTGAGAGCATGCCTGTGATGGTGATGCGTGTGTGTGTGTGTGTGTGTGTGTGTGTGTGTGAGATGAGGATGAAGGATTGTTTAAAAATACATTATTTCCAATTTAAGCATTCCGTACCCCCCTTCCTCCCAAGTCCCTCCAATCCTAGGTGTGGGTGGTTGGAGTTTGCTTTAATAATATAAGCTAAAGAAAGTAAATTTTGGTAAAATCCTCCTGGCTAGTAAAGATGTAGAGGACTTTATTCTCAGCTGGCTCATTCTTATCTGAGCAGGGAGGTAGTATGAAGCTGGGGGAATAGGTAGGGAGAAGAGTGAGCAACAACATAAAAATGGAGAAGTATAAATACTTAAGGAAACAGTGATGCATCTGATTAGAAGAGGAGAACAATAGCCACTGAATCTGAAGAAGTAGGTTAAAGCCACCACTTTGGTCTCTGTTCTTTGGGCTTGAATCCTCAGATGGCTTTGGTTAGACTATAATAGTATCAAAGTGGGTTTATAAGAATAATAATGTGATGGTGGCATAAAAAAAAGGAGTAAAATAGGTAAGAGTAGAGACTGGAGTTGAGGCTTTGTTTTTTTATGTCTACCTGTTGCCTTTAGTATATGTGTTATAATAAACTGAACTGGAAAATGGAAAAAAGGGATTAGATGCAAGAGCAAAAAATTGAGTTAGAAGGGGGACTTCATGAAGAATCCAAATTTTTTGTCTTAGTTCCCAGGAACAGTGATGCTGTTGGCCGACATAGGTAGAGAGTAGGTTTGGGGAGAAAGGTGATTTTAGTTGTTAGACATTTTGAAAGTGCAGTATCACTGGGAAATCCTAAGTAGACTTACCAAGTAAGCAATGTAGATGTTTAAACTGTGTTATCATCATAGAAGTGGTAGTTGCTTTGGTGGATCAGAGAGAGAGAGAGAGAGAGAGAGGCACAGGTGGTTGAGGACTAAATTTGGGGAATTGCAAAGGATCCAGGAGGGAATAGAAATTTAGTGAAGAATATTGAAGGTACATTTTTAAGAGAAAATACATAAAAATAGCTAACATTTATTGAGTACATTTTATTTGCTAAGCAAATGAAAAGCTTTTAAGTAACAATTGGCTTAATCCTCATCACAATTGTATGAGATAGAGCCTGTTATCACCACATCTAGAAAATATTAGTCTGACTCTAGAGCCCCTGCTGATTTATTTTTTAATGTCACTAAGACCAAGAAAGGAGAGCATGGTTGAGAGAGACAAGGATTCTTAGACAAGGGGCTTCCTTTTTTACATGTGGTAATAGGAGACTAGAAAATACCACCAGGGATTTCCTTTGAGTGGTAGGATGTTATTTAATACAACAAAATGACTTTTTTGCTTCATCTTGAACATTTCTTTTATAATGAAGAAAGGAAATATTTAAAAATTAATATTTTTATGCATAATTTTTCTCATTTTAGGGACGCAAGAGGGATGACCCCATTTATGTCAGCTGTAAGTGGCCGAGCTTATCCAGCTGCAATTACCATCTTAGAAACAGCCCAGAAAATTGCAAAAGGTAATTTATTACAAGTCCTAAAAGAGTTGTTTATTTTTTAATTGAAAAGATTCTTTTCTACATTTATTATACAATTAATCAAACCTAATTTTTGCATGATGAAATAATTGAGTAGAAGCTATCAAGATAATTCTTTTGTGTATTTGTGTGTGTAAAATTCATGTTTGTACCTTTTTCAAGTATATTGTATTTTCGAACTTTCCACCAAAAAACAGCTGGTATAAGTTTTTAAATTAAAAAAAAAGTGCATGATGGGTAACGTAATGACTTTCTTTTTAATTTTTATTTATTTTGAGAGAGAGAATGGGGAGTAGGGGAGGGGCAGAGAGAAGGAAAGAGAATCCCAAGTGGGCTCTGTGCTGTTAGTATAGAGCCCAGTACAGGGCTTGCTCTCCTGAACCGTGAGATCATGACCTGAGCCAAAATCAAGAGTCAGGTGCTTAAACCAGCTGAGCGACCCAGGTGTCCCATGACTGATCTTTTGAAAATAAAGACGGGTTACTGATAGAACCTGCCAGTGGTTAACTGTTGATCATGATACAAATTTATGGAAATAATAGGCCAGATTTCTTATTGTTCTTTCTTCTGACTTGGAATTCTTGCTTAATAGAAAGCAGTAAGGAATATCAGTTCCTACACCCAGCCTTTAGAAGACTCTAAAATTTATGTGATTGTCTATAATTTATTAAATAGAGCTAGAACTTGAATCTTAACTGCATAACATAGAGCTGTGTATTCAGCTGAGGTGTGGTGTATTGTTGTCATGTGGTTATGATATAATTACAGTTTGCTTTATTTTGCACCAGAACTGACTGGATTTCCTTGCATGTTGACTTGTATATCAGTTTTGGGTTTTTTTTTTAACGTATATTTATTTTTGAGAGAGCAAGAGAGAGTGCGCGCGTGGGCACGGGGGAGGAGCAGAGAGAGGGAGACAGAATCCGAAGCAGGCTCCATCCTCTGAGCTGTCAGCACAAGAGCCTGATGCGGGGCTTGAACTCAGTATAACCACGAGATTATGACCCGAGCCGGAGTCAGATGCCCAACCAACTGAGCCACTCAGGCACCCTGTATTTCAGTTTTTAAAATTAATATATAGTAGTTTTGATTTATACTGTGTAAATGTTAGAGCTTTTGCATTTGAGTAAAGCAGTAGCTGATTGTGATTAAGGCCTGTCTTGGTATGTGAACTACTGTGTTCTTAATCTTTTTAGCTGAAGTATCCTCGAGTGAAAAAGAGGAAGATGTGTTTATGGGAATGGTTTGCCCATCAGGTACCAACCCTGATGACTCACCCTTATATGTGTTATGTTGTAATGATACCTGCAGTTTTACATGGACAGGAGCAGAGCACATTAACCAGGTAGGCCGTTTTAGACTTCTTTGTATTTATGCTGTCTTCAGGTATTCTTTTCTTTTTTCCCCTTTCACCATTACTAGAATTACAGTTCTATAGTTCTTAGCTCTGGAATTGTGAGTCTGATATTTCTTTTTATTCTGAGTTATAAAATTCTCCAAAGAAAAATAATTTTTATTCCCAAATAAGTGAGGCAAAGGAGATGATCATTAAATTAGTTATTAGATATCACGAAAATTAGAAATCTTCACTCAGTAGCATAATTTGATTCACACCTCTTGACACAGATTTTATAGCTATAGCACCTTTTTGGGGGTGGTGATATGAATTATTTTTGCCCTACTGATAAATATTTGATTTCCATTCGTTGTACCTCCAGTGCTGTACCCGTTTATGATTCTGTTTCCATAGCACATTAGCTTTGCTCTGCTTTCATTGTGATGGACTTTAGAAAATACTAGAAATAATTAAGCTAATGAAATGTACATTATATTCTTCTAAGAAATAAACCCTTCTAATTGTAGGATATTTTTGAGTGTCGAACTTGTGGCTTGCTGGAGTCACTCTGTTGTTGTACAGAATGTGCAAGAGTTTGTCATAAAGGTCATGATTGCAAGTGAGTACAGTTCTAGTTTTCTTTAATTATATAAACTGCTTAGATTCATATTGCTGTATTAAAATAATCTATACCAAGGTAATGTTTTATTTCATTTTTCAGGAAGCATAAGGTTTTCTCAAGTTGTTCTCTTTAAGCCAGTTTATTTATTAAAATGTGGTTCTTGATTTAAAGTGTACTTTGAAATGTTGTTCATTTGCTTTTGTCTATATTCTCTCTCCAGAGTCTCAGTCTATAGTAGGGTCTCCTAGCAGGAGATCATAACAGGTATTAAGTGAAAAATGGTGAATGTTTGGCCTGTGCTTTATTTACTTCTTAAAGTGAATGTAATAACCTTTCATCCAGCAATAGAGTTACCATGGCTAGTGTGTTAATTTTCACAGACTTAAGAAGCAATAAAATACTCCAGCATGAACATTTGCAGTGCCTTAGAGTCTCAGCAGAGATATCAGCTATAATTGTGCCACAGATATGTAGATGTTACGGTTAACAGAGAATTGGTTTGTAAAAACCATCTATTGTGCTTTAAAATAAATGATTATATAGGACAAGTAGAAAATGTTTATAGATATTGCATTGGTGCTTATTTATTACTTTTATTAAAAGAACTTTGGCTAATATGTTTTTCTTCCTTAATTTAAACATCTAAAAGTGAATCTATTCATTGATTGCTTAGCAAGTGCTGTTACACACTAGATATTTGGGTGGTGGTGGACAAGGGAGTCTCTGTCCTTGCACGGTTTACAGTCCTATCAGGGGACACAAGCAAGAAACATTTGCTCATAAGGGTTTTAGGGCTCATTAGATGCACATAGGAGGACCACTTACACTGAATGGGGGCTATAGGGAAGTAAGGAAGATGTTCTGGAAGACGTGACTATATTCAAGTCATTACAAGATCCCTCAGGAGAGTTGCTCTGTAGACTTCATCCCACTAAGTAATACTTGTAGTTAAGCATGCTTTAAGAATTGTTACACTTTGCATTTAAATATTAACAAGGGTTCTATCTTGGGTCAGTAAATTATATCTCCATGATTTCAATAGAGATCTTTGTGGTTTTTTTTTTTTTTTTTTTAATTTTGTTTTTTGTACTTGTGTATGAATTCTTTCTAGACTCAAACGGACGTCACCAACAGCGTATTGTGATTGTTGGGAGAAATGTAAGTGTAAAACTCTAATTGCTGGACAGAAGTCTGCTCGTCTTGATCTACTTTATCGCCTACTCACTGCCACTAATCTGGTCACTCTGCCAAACAGCAGGCAAGTGGGGTTTTTTAGGACATAAATTGGAAAAACACAGCACATCTGAGTAGCCCTCCCTGCTCACAATGATGTTCCATTTTGCAGGGGAGAGCACCTCTTACTGTTTTTAGTGCAGACAGTTGCAAGGCAGACAGTAGAGCACTGCCAGTACAGACCTCCTCGGATCAGGGAGGATCGTAATAGAAAAACAGCCAATCCTGAAGGTGGGTGAGTCTGACAATTGTGACCCATATAAAAAGGATTTTATTTATTTCTGTCTTACCCACTGTTTCTTTTTCTGCTTAGATTCAGATATGCCTGATCATGATTTAGAGCCCCCAAGGTTTGCCCAGCTTGCATTGGAGCGTGTTCTACAGGATTGGAATGCTTTGAAATCTATGATTATGTTTGGCTCACAGGAGAATAAAGACCCGTATGTATTCATTAAAAACGTTTTAGATTTATGTATTTCCCCTGTTAATGGAGGTGATTACAATGCATTGTTTTTCCTTCCCCCTCAAGTCTCAGTGCCAGCAGTAGGATAGGCCATCTTTTGCCAGAAGAGCAAGTTTACCTCAATCAGCAAAGTGGCACCATTCGGCTGGACTGTTTCACTCATTGCCTTATAGTCAAGTGTACAGCAGATATTTTGGTAAGTTCTTTGGATGTTTGTTTACAAGTACATTAAAAGAATGTTTTCTGACTTAGTTTCCCATAATTTTATTGATCCAACCTCCTAAGTACTGATAAGGTCTAATTACACAGTACATTCAGGGGAATGGAATTTGGGGGTGATTTAAATATCTCAACACAGAAACTCCTTTCATTCTAAACAAAAATCCTAAAATGTGCTAAAAATATAACAGTATATAGAAATGTATGGAGCAGTGTTCAAAATTGACTCAGTGCAAATGTTTTTTTTTAAGTACTCCTTTTTGCTCTGAAATTAGAAAAGAATATAAATCATAAAACCTAGTGCTGGTGAGGTTATGGGAAAAAGAACACATTCAGACACTGATCGGGTGGCATTGCATTGGTATTCTTTTAGAAAACAACTTGGCAATAATATCACAAGCCATAGGAATGTCAGTGCCCTCTGGGGCGCCTGGGTAGCACAGTCGGTTAAGTGTCCAACTTCAGCTCAGGTCATGATCTCACGGTTCATAGTTTTGAGCCACATCGGCCTCTTGACTGTCAGCATGGAGCCTGCTTTGGATCTTCTGTCCTCCCCTCTCTCTGCCCCTCCCTCGTGTTCTCTTTCTCTCTTTCAAAAATAAACAAACATTTAAAAGAAGAAAGAAAACCTGTGCCCTTCGACTTATCATAAAGAAATAATTTGTGACATGAGAAAAAAGATCATGTTACAGAATAATAAAAAATATAGAAAAGAAATACTTGATGGAGCCAATAATAGATTATTGAATCAAATTATAGCCCAGCCACTTGCTGAAATGTAATGCGGCAATTTAGAAATAAAGGTTATTTTAAGTAACATTTAAAAACCCCAAAATAACATGAAAATTGGATGTTCTCTATAATTAATATGTATATGATAGATGATGCATAGAAATGAGACCGAGAAAGTAACAATAAAAATGGTTAAGTGAGAGGGATGGGATTATGAACTTACTAATATAAATATTTGAAACTACTTTGCTGTTTCAATATGTACCCTATAGTGAGTGAAATTATTCTTTCTCTGATTTGATATATTTGTTATTTTTCTATGTATGATACACATAGAACTAGAAGACTAAAAACGGAAGACATTCGAGGCCTACTGTAGGTCAAAGACATGGTAGGCATGGGCATAAATTAATCAGTGATATTAGAGGTGTTTTGGTAAAATTTATTTTGAGATTTTTATTATGAAATGGTAATACTGAAAAGGTGTTTGAACTTTTTGCTTTATAAATGTCCAAACATCTTAAGAGATGTCTCAGCATATTAATAGAGTTATTACAATTTTTAAAGCTTTTAGATACTCTACTAGGTACACTCGTGAAAGAACTCCAAAACAAATACACACCTGGACGTAGAGAAGAAGCTATTGCTGTGACAATGAGGTTTTTGCGTTCAGTGGCAAGAGTTTTTGTCATTCTTAGTGTGGAAATGGCTTCATCCAAAAAGAAAAAGTAAGACATCCTTTTTGATCTGAGCTTTTCTATCACTTTACACACATTTTTTGTGATAATGATAACATTGTGTGTATGAAAAGATTTCATAAAAGATTCCTATTTTTTCCTTTTGCTTCAGTAACTTTATTCCGCAGCCAATTGGAAAATGCAAGCGTGTATTCCAAGCACTGCTACCTTACGCTGTAGAAGAACTGTGCAATGTAGCAGAGTCGCTGATTGTTCCTGTCAGAATGGGGATCGCTCGCCCGACTGCACCTTTCACTCTGGCTAGTACTAGCATAGATGCCATGCAAGGCAGTGAAGAACTGTTCTCCGTGGAACCACTACCACCACGACCATCATCTGATCAGTCTAGCAGGTAAATTTCTATCTGGTAACAGATTCTAATTAATTCTTTCTTTGGAAATGTCACATTTGGCTTACTAAACCTTTCTATTAGCACTCTGGAAGTGTCCTTGATCGTTTATGTAACAAATGGTGAAGATTTTATTTTGTTTGAAACCTGTGAGAGCACTTGAAAAATTATACATTGTGCCTGCACATCTAAGGTAATAGGCTTATAGTTGTAGGTTTTACTTTTGGTTGGAAAAGCACTGTTTTTATTATGCCAATAAAGTAATCTGGTAAGAAAGTTCAGACTTCTGTAGACATACTTCCTGTCTAGGGGGCGGGCAGGTTGTTATTCTCAACAACCATATTGTCTAGGAGAGAGCTAAAACAATTCATCAACTTAATATTTCTAGTTTAAGATTATTTATTTTTTAAATTTTACTTACCTTTCCCATTGGTAATTAGACTGTAAGCTTGTTGAGTCAGAATGTTTAGAAACTGAAACGTTTTGGTGTCTTTTAGCACAGTGCTTTATTAAATATGCATGCAAATTACTTGGGGATTTTATTAAAATGCAGAGGCAGATTTTGGAGGTCTGGGTGGGGCCTGAGGTTCTGTATTTGTTATAAACTCTCAGGTAGTGCCAATGTGCTCACGGTTTAGGGGTCATGCTTTTGAGTTGGAGGGCTATAGTGATCTTTAGCAAATACTTGTTTATTTGGTTTTCTCACGTCTGATTCTGTTACTGTGTGTAATCATAATGATGTTTAATGAAGATCTTTGGGACTTAAAGACCCTCTTCTTCTTTCCTGGAAAACATCTCTGTGATACTAAGGCACGCCTTCCTTATTAAATTTAGCACAATTTCCCTAGACTTCATTCCTGGGTTTCATCTGAGTTGATTTGTTCAGTATCTGCTCTCTCACTGTTCTCATTATTCCCTGTGCCAGTATGTATCCCAGCTTTTCCTTTATTGTCAGGTCTCCTAGGATACCCTGAAATGTAAGTCCAGGTTTGTCTGTCAAAGCTTTCTCATGGTAGCTTTGTCACTGATAGGCTTTCAGGATTTGCTGGAAATGGTTACGAATCAAGCTGTATATTTTCAGACTTGCTAAACATACCCCATCATCCAGTGATTCTGTTAGCAAAATCTGCTTGGGCGCCATATGATGTCTGCTAAGCCTGATAGCCCTGTGAGGAGCTCCCTGGTTACTTAAGTGGTATTACTTTGTGTTTATGTTCCGGAACATAAACACTTTTTATCTGTTGAAAAGATTTTTGGGGTGATCTTCACTTGAAAAAGTGCCCATCAGCCTGTTCTTACTAAGTATCAAGATTTTTGTGTCCCTTTGCCCTGCTTCTTAGGCTCTTTATTTAAGTATTGTGCATTCTTCAGCTCTCCACTTTATCCCCCTTGATTGATTGAGTCAGTCTGTCATGTCTTCCCAGAAGGAGATCTCATTGGATCATCAAGAAAGATAATAGTGTCATGTTTTCTTCAACTGTTGATATAATGTAAAAGTCCTTCATTATTATACGGTGCAATCACTCCCTCTTGTAAGGATGTATTTTGATCAGTGTTTCAGGCATGTCTTAACTAAAAAGTACACATTTGGCTAGTCTCTGCGATTTCCCTTGTGTGGGGTGGTAGGTGGTATATTATCACTCCACTGAACGTAAAGTTTTGAGTTTAGTATTTTTCCTTCTTCTGTCCCTTCCCTTCACCTCTTTAAAACTCTTACTGTCCTTATTAATCAACCTGTTTCTCTGTCTCCATGCCTCATATAAAAACTGTTCACTGAAATTTTAATATGAACTAGGAACTTTTAAGCGTTGTAAATGCATCACCTGTTTTAATCTTCCCAATAACTCATAGATAACCACTATCATCCTAATTTTAAAAGTGAAGAATATGAGACTCAGGTTACTTGTCCAAGGTCATACAGTGATTAAAGTTTAAACATATTTAGAGATAATTCTAGACGGATATTTACCTTTTTCCTATATTCCTGAATATTAGATGGCACTGTAAGGGGAGATAATTGCTGTTTGGTCCTTATTGATAGTGTTGAGACTTTGGATTAATCATCACAAACCCACCGTACCTTACAGTACAAATTGCAGTCCTAAACTTTCATGAGCGCAGGTTTGTAATTAGAAGTTCCCTGAAGAGGGGCACCTGGGTGGCTCATTGGTTAAGTGTCTGACTTTGGATTAGGTCTGTGATCTCACAAGTTGTTAGTTTGAGCCCTGCATTGGACTCTCTGTTGTAAGCATGGAGCCTGCTTCAGAACTTCTGTCTCCCTTTCCCTCTCTCTGCCCCTCCCCACCGTGCTCTCACCCTCTTTCAAAAATAAAACCACCACCACCACCACAAAAAGTTCTCTGAAGAGATATTTTTCCTGCCCCATCCAGCCATGGCTGATATAGATAGGTAAGTCTCTTGAAGTAGGTTACCCTTTCCCGATTTATGTTTGGCTTTATTTATGTGGGGGGGACAGAACAGATTTCTATGCTGTAGAAGCTTTATACTCCAGACTGTCTCCTGTGAAATCTGTGGCTTCTTGGAACCCTTCTTGCCTAAGGGACATCAGCAGATGCCTTTGGTGTTAATGGTGGCACCATTGCTCTCAAGCTTATTCAGTACAAATGTTTCCCTTTATCACCAGGATAGCTGTGCTTTGTTTTTAAATATTTAATGTATTTAGGTGTTCTACACCGAGAGGGATTTCTCTTCAGTTGGCAAATTGCTGAAACTAGAAGTTCCCAAAATTTGGAAGTATTTTAACAACTCCTGTTAGGGCTTCAGGACTATAGTTGTGCCAGGAAGTCTAGTGGGAAAAAAGTTGAATCGTGCTATGAAGAAAACTGAATGGGGGGTATCATATATTTTGGGTGTTATTAGTATTATACATACTAAGTGCATAACTCCTTAATGTTCTTTGAGGGGACGATAGATCTTGTGGATGTTTGTTTCAGGATTTTTTTTTTTTTCTTTTTAAGGAATACTAATTAATTGTGGCTTTACACAATGTTGACTTTTATTTTTTAATACTGGAAATATTGAAATCTTAGTTTGGAAATACCCTTTTTTATCTCTTCAGATTTTCTTTGAGCTTCCTCATATGTTTTGTAATTCACTGGCTCTGTGAAGAACCAGTTACTTAAATTTCTAGTATTAAACACTATATTGAGACTACTTGTGTATTTGAAGGTGGAGAGTTTGAGTGGATTCTTCATGTGTAACTGGTTTGATTCTTATTTCTTTTTTTTTTTTAATTTTTTTTTTCAACATTTATTTATTTTTGGGACAGAGAGAGACAGAGCATGAACGGGGGAGGGGCAGAGAGAGAGGGAGACACAGAATCGGAAACAGGCTCCAGGCTCTGAGCCATCAGCCCAGAGCCTGATGCGGGGCTCGAACTCACGGACCACAAGATCATGACCTGGCTGAAGTCGGACGCTCAACCGACTGCGTCACCCAGGCGCCCCGGTTTGATTCTTATTTCTAAGAGCAGCTGAGGTGAGGAAAGAACAGGATCAGTGTAAACACGTTTAAAGGTCTTTAACATTTCTTAATTTGTAAATAAAGGATAATAGTAGGTCATAGGATTATTTAACAACCATCTTCTGATCTCTGACCTGCATTTTAAGCTGCATTCTGTCATTCTCCCCTTCCTTTTATAATGGAGGCATCTGTCTTTTCTTGGCTGTTTGTTTCCAAGGCAGATTTTTAAGGAAGTAGAACTTTTTGGCCACCCACATTTTGTTATGATTCTATTTTCAAATTCATACTTTTCAACTAATGTTTTCCCTCTACATGCGTAAAGTCAGTGGTTAATAAGCTGATGCAAAGTAGGTCATGTCAGATCTCTTAGAAGAGTAGATCACTTGTAATAAGCATACTTATCACCACCATTCATACTTTGTTAATGGATGAATGCTGCTGTTGGAGCCTTTGGAAGTTGAGGACTGTTGTTACTGAAAGCAGTGGAGAAGGAAAAATATTTCCTGGAGATTATTTCAGTGGGAAGGACTCATGTGCTTCAGTTATGTGCGTTAACAAATATGAAATGACTTACAGAAAAGTAGAAATAATTCTGAGGTTTCTAAGTTAAATCTCTATGGTAAAATTAATTTCTCTGGGGTCCATATTTTCTGATCTATGGATTATTAGTTTCCAAGAATTTTTAGGTCAGATTTAAAATAACATCCTAGTAAGTGGGTCACACCGAATGACACTGAGAAGCATAAAAAGTGTGCCGTGTGGCAGCAGTGGCCTCATAAGCTCCTGATTCTCCACAGCTCCAGTCAGTCTCAGTCTTCTTACATCATCCGGAACCCACAGCAGAGGCGCATCAGCCAGTCGCAGCCTGTTCGGGGCAGAGATGAAGAACAGGATGACATTGTTTCAGCAGACGTGGAAGAGGTGGTTGTAATTGTTTTAATTGTGGTAGATGAGAGGCTTTTATTTGGGAGGGAAGAAGTTTCACTAATAGTAGTTTACTATCATTACATGTGTTTGCTTCTAACGTTTAGAGTTTTGTTATGTGTTCTCATTTGTGGTTGTATGTGTTAAAAATACTTTAATTTAAATCCTTGATTTAGTGGATAATACAAAACTGGAAACAGAAGCTTGCTTTTTACTTAGGGTTAATAGAAAGGATATCCTCAATGTTAAAAAAAGTTTTAGTAGTTTTGTGCAATGTATCTGAAGGCAGAATGGATACCGCATATTCATTAGGTAAATTTTATTACTGTGGAAGTTAAAAAAAAACATACACTTTCTACCCAGTTATTAAACTATTAATTTTAAGGTTCTGCACAGGGACGACAATTACAAATTTTAGGATATCTGACATAATTTTTGATTGCAAGTTGTCACTAGCCAACGATTTTCAAACTCTTGACTGCTAATAATCTCTGTAGTTAGCGATCTTTGTATTTAAGTTTACGTTGCTGTGGAGGAACACTGGTAGAGATGTGGGTTTCTTATGTACTTTGATTGTCTACAAATGAGATTCTGGATTTAGGTTGAGGTGGTGGAGGGTGTGGCTGGAGAAGAGGATCATCATGATGAACAGGAAGAACATGGGGAAGAAAATGCTGAGGCAGAGGGACAACATGATGAGCATGATGAAGACGGTATGCAGGTTATTTGAGAAATTATTCAGTATGAGTACATCAGGTATCTTTAAGGATATTAACAGAGAAAAGCCCCATTTGACTGTAATGTTCAACATATTTTCAGCCTAGGGATTCTGTAGCATCTGTTTCAAAATTTTAGGAAGCAGCTATATATATATATACACACACACACACCTGTAAATATATATGTACATGCTCATATATATTTATATGTATAAAATAACGTATCCTCTTTCTTTACCCTTTTTTTCCTTTAAAAAATTTTTTGGTATCGTTTGTTTATTTTTGAGAGAGAGCGTGAGGTGGGGAGGGGCAGAGAGAGACAGAGACACAGAATCCAAAGCAGGCTCCAGGCTCTGGCTGGCAGCACAGAGCCAGACATGGGGCTCAAACTCACAAGCCGTGAGATCATGACCTGAGCCGAAGTTGGATGCTTAACCAACTGAGCCACCCAGGCACCCCTGACTTTCTCTTTTCTTTTTCTTTTCTTTTAAATGTTTGTTTATTTTTGAAGGAGACAGAGACAGAGTGTGAGCAGGGGAGGCACAGAGAGAGAGAGGGAGACACAGAATCCGAAGCAGGCTTCAGGCTCTGAGCTTTCAGCACAGAGCCCAACACAGGGCTCAAACCCATGAGCTGTGAGATCATGACCTGAGCCGAAGTTGGACACTTAACCGACTGAGCCACCCAGGCGCCCCTAACTTTCTCTTTTCTTACAAGGAAGTTAAAATAGTCACAATCATATTAGGAAATATTTGCAAATTTAGAGAAAAGGAAAACAAATGACCCATAATCCCACCTGGACCTAACAGTTTGTATTTTTACTTTCAGCTTTTCCCTTTGCTGCCCCATTCCCATGCATGTCTTTTAGATACTGTATGTGTAATTTTTGTGCCTTTTTTTTTTTTTTCCCCCACTGACTAATTCTTTTGGCCTTTTTGCTACCACCATAACCATTCTTACTAGTAGCCATTGGATAGACTTTTTGGGATCATCTTTGTTGAGGTGTAATTGACATACAATAAACTGCACACATTTATAATTTTATGTTTTGATGTGTATATACCATGAAATTCTAGATAGACGTTTTTAGCTTTCGTCCTTCTTCTTTTGGAATCCCAATATGTAAAACAGATGAAAATGGAGCAGTGGTCCCAGCCCAGAGTTCTACCCATTGGTGGAAGTTCTCCTGCCCAACCCTTTTTACCTAAGGCTGTGCAGAACAGATTTTGAATTGCTGTGTAATAGTCTACTGAGGACCATAATTTGCCTAGTCATTTTTCTCCTTCTAAGCAGGCAGTTATGCTTACTGTAATAATAATCACTTTTCCCTCCCCCCCCCCGCTAACTTAGGATATTCTGGCTTATTAGACCCTGTCTGTTCCAGAGTGCGCTTATATTTTTTCCCTCCTTCTTATTTAAATATATTTCCTAGGGAGTGACATGGAGCTGGACTTGTTAGCAGCAGCTGAAACAGAAAGTGACAGTGAAAGTAACCATAGCAACCAAGATAATGCTAGTGGGCGTAGAAGTGTTGTCACAGCAGCAACCGCTGGCTCGGAAGCAGGTATGTTACCTTTTCCTTATCCAGCTTTCTTGCTTATACTAAGGCCATATTTATATTCAGCATGAAATGGTTGAACTATACTCCTTATGATTTGTACAAGGGGTGGCTAAGCTTTTTTATAACTTTATCCTTTTTCCCTTATTTTAGAGAGCACATGAGCAGGGGAAAGGAGCAGAGGGAAGGAGGGAGGGAGGGGGAAGTAGAGTGGGGGAGAGAGAGAGAGGGAGAGGCAGAAATTAAGCAGGCTCCACGCCACACCCAGTGTGGAGCCCAACACAGGGCTCGATCCCATGATCCCAGGATCATGACCTGAGCTGAAATCAAAAGTTGGATGCTCAACTGACTGAGCCATCCAGACACCCCAGTAATTAAACTATTTTATGATGAGTTTTGTGGGCTATTATAGCCTGGCATTCTGTTTAATATATGTAATATTTTCCTGAATGACGGAGTACACTGTAGTTTTAAATATCAACAGACTGACATTGATTTTGGTTTTAAAAATGAAAAATTTAGGTGCAAGCAGTGTTCCTGCCTTCTTTTCTGAAGATGATTCGCAATCAAATGACTCAAGTGACTCTGATAGCAGCAGTAGTCAAAGTGATGACATAGAACAGGAGACCTTTATGCTTGATGAGCCATTAGAGAGAACCACAAATAGCTCCCATGCCAACGGTGCTGCCCAAGCTCCCCGGTCCATGCAGTGGGCTGTCCGCAACACCCAACATCAGCGGGCAGCCAGCACGGCCCCTTCCAGCACATCCACACCAGCAGGCAAGTCTGAAAACTTGGTATTCTTGAAAGTGCTTAAGTAGGTTTTAAAAATTATGTATGTTCATCTATACAAATCAAGTAGTTTCATAATAGTTCTTCATTGTTTTACCGAGTTCAAATACAAAGTATTTACATATGATTATATCAAGGTTTCTCAGTCTCTGTACCATGATTACTTTGGGCTGAATAATCCTTTGTGATTGTGCATTATAGGATGTTTAGAAGTATCCTTGACTTCTATGCATCAGATGCCAGTAGCAGTCTCTCCTCCAACCCCACCCACCTATTGTGACAACCAAAACTGTCTATAGACATTGCCAAATGTCCCTCTATGGGCAGGGGCAGTAGCAAAATTGCATCTGGTTGAGAACACTATAGTAATTCTTGTCTCTCTCATCATTGCCCTCCCTTAAATTAGTGTGGTTTAAGACCACGTTTTTCACTCGGTGACCATATTTGCCGTTACAGTTGATCTTTTAAATATATACAGTGCTAGAGAAACACAATTAACATCTGACAGCTTGTTGTGGTTGTCCTTTTTCCTTTGTAGCAAGTTCAGCGGGTTTGATTTATATTGATCCTTCAAATTTACGCCGGAGTGGTACCATCAGCACGAGTGCTGCTGCTGCAGCAGCTGCTTTGGAAGCTAGCAATGCCAGCAGCTACTTAACATCTGCGAGCAGTTTAGCCAGGGCTTACAGCATTGTTATCAGACAAATCTCGGACTTGATGGGCCTTATTCCTAAGTATAATCACCTAGTGTACTCTCAGATTCCAGCAGCTGTGAAATTGACTTATCAAGATGCAGTAAACTTACAGGTATGAAAACATTGAAAAGTTACTCCAAATAAATTTTGGGATGTCAATTGTGAAAATTCCACTGTAATGGGAATTAACATTACAGATACTTAAATGTTTATAGATTACTACTATATATCAAATTTAACTTTATTTGGATAGTTTTAACTATTTTAGTTTGGTCTTCATAGAATTATGTAGAAGAAAAGCTTATTCCCACTTGGAACTGGATGGTCAGTATTATGGATTCTACTGAAGCTCAATTACGTTATGGTTCTGCATTAGCATCTGCTGGTGATCCAGGACATCCAAATCATCCTCTTCATGCTTCTCAGAATTCAGCTCGAAGAGAGAGGATGACTGCACGAGAAGAGGCTAGTTTACGAACCCTTGAAGGCAGACGGTATGAAATTCTTCATATATGCTTATATGTTAGAGCCCTTATATCCCAGGAAGTTAGAGCTTTTTGGTTGCTGTTACATTAGACCTCACTTTGTTTTGAAGGGGGGGAAGTGTATTACTTCTTTTTAAATTGTTGTGTGGTTGAAGCAGAATAAGTTAGTTTATAATCCAAGCTGTTTTTTTCAAAATTCATTCATATGTTAGGAATCTGATACTAAATACTTCTCATTTTTGAAGTACTTGATCTACATCCTTGTTTCATTGTCCTCCAAGCTTCCCCTCCTCCCTCCCCTGTCCCTTGAAAGACATGTATTTATAGGAAGATTTTGACCATGATTGAGTATGAATGCATTTTGTATTCGGGAAGAGGAAAGTATGTGGGATTACCAAAGCTGTTCTTTGATCTCCTCGAATCCAATTTCTTTTTCTACAGCCCCCAGTCTTTTGAATTGTATTTAAAGTATATTTCTTTATGTATTTGTTGTCTTCTTTCTTTCAGTTATAAAATGACCTTTTTCAGGAGTAGGAATTAGCCCAAACATTGAACACTAGAGCACTGGGGCTGTGCCGTATAGTGCAAGGGCCCGGTACCTGAGGTCAGAGTCCTAGGATTTGGTTCTAGCTTTGGCTCAGGGGAAATAACTTTGCTACTTTGGGAGGCTCATAACAGGGGAAAGACAAGGGCCTAGGAGACTGCTTAGGAACCTTAACAAGATTATGGTTGGAATTGGCCATTGAAAGGTAATAGATTTATTTAAGTGGGGCTGGTGAAGGCCAGGAAGGAGGAGAGAGAGAAGCATTGAAATCATATAACAATTGAGGGCCTTGTTGAGGGGTAGAGCAGGAGGAGGCAGAATTTACAGCTAGACTTTGATTCTGAATAACTAATAGGAAAATTAAGAGAAAAATCTAGAGCAGTAGAATGGACATACTTGGCTTTTGAAAATACTGAGGAGCTGGGAGAGGTTTTGGTGGAAATGTCTAGAAGGCAAAATTGAATGCTTGGCAGAGAGATCTGGACCACTTGGGAGGCCTCTGCTTTCCTGTCCTAGGAAGCCTGCTCCACCAACAGGCACAAGCCTTGTCTTTGTAAGGCTCATCACTCCCCGAATAACAGAGTTCTGATAATAGATCTAGATTGGTGACTTGTTCGTCTCCCTTTACTTCACTGTGGCTCTCACCCTAATATAATAACCTTATTGAGATATAATTCATGTATATTTCATCCATTTAAAGTGTACAGTTCCATACTTTTGAATATATTCAGAGCTGCACAACCATCATCACAGTTAATTATGGAATATTTTTTTTTTTTAATTTTTTTTTTCCCAACGTTTATTTATTTTTGCAACAGAGAGAGACAGAGCATGAACGGGGGAGGGGCAGAGAGAGAGGGAGACAGAATCGGAAACAGGCTCCAGGCTCTGAGCCATCAGCCCAGAGCCTGACGCGGGGCTCGAACTCACGGACCGCGAGATCGTGACCTGGCTGAAGTCGGACGCTTAACCGACTGCGCCACCCAGGCGCCCCTGGAATATTTTTATCATCTCCACAAAAATACCTACTAGTGGTCACCTCCCATTTTCCCCTACTTTCCCACCCTGAGCAACCACTGATCTACTCTTGGTCTCTATAATGTAATTTGCCTGTTTTGGACATTTCATATAGACGGAATCATACAATATGTCTGTTCTATGCCTAGCTTTTCTTACCTAGCATAATGGTTTTAAGGTTCATCAGGTTTAGCATTATCAGTCAATATGTTACTTTCTAGTAATATTTCATTGTATGGATGTGCCACATTTTTATCCATTCATAAGTTGGGTTTTTCATCTTTCTGACTCTTGTGAATAATGTCACTGTCAGCATTAGTGTACAGGTTTTTATATAGATACGTTTTCAGTTATGTTGGATAATATACCTAGTTGTAGAATTGCTAGATCATATGTAACTCTGTTAAACTTTCGGGCAACTGCCAGACTTTTCCAAAGTGGCTGCATCATTTTACATTCGCAGTAGCAAATGTGAGGCCTCTCATTTCTCTAAATCCTTGTTAGCACTTGTTACTAGTGGGTTTTTTTGTTTTTTGTTTTTTTTAATGGTAGCCATCCTAGTGGGTGTGAAGTGGTAACTAATTTTGATTTTGATTTGCATTTCCCTAATGGCTAAATGTTGTGCATCATTTCATGGGCTTATTGGTCATTTGTATATCTTCGGAGAAATGTCTATTTAGATCCTTTGCCCATTTTTTAATTGGCTTGTCTTTTTGTTATCGAGTTGTGTGAGTTACTTACATTTTCTGGACTTAAGTTCCTTATCAGACTTGCAGAAATTTTGTCCCCTTTTGTATGTTTTCATTTTCTTGATGGTATCCTTTGAAGTACCTATGTTTTTAATTTTGATAAAGTCTAGTGCTGTGTTTTCTTGTTGCTTGTGTTTTGGTATCATGTTAGACAGTGGTTCTCAAAGTGTGATCCCCAGAACAGCATCAACATCACCTAGGAGCTTGTTAGAAATACAGATTTGGGGACCCTACCCCAGACCTACTGGGGTCTTCTGTAGGGAAGGAGTTCCTTGTCCATTTCCAAAGGACACTAGAATTCCTTTCCTGTATAAAGTACATGACAGTAAATCATGCACAATGTTTTTATCTCTAAAGCAGAGTCACAGGGTTAATGAGTTTTTATTTACAGATATTCTCAGTTCCTAATTTTGCATATTTATGATAATGGTAAGTTTCACATTTGCTTTCTTTTTTTTAAACATTTTCATTTCTTTTTACTCCTACAGACGTGCCACATTGCTTAGCGCCCGTCAAGGAATGATGTCTGCCCGAGGGGACTTCCTAAATTATGCACTGTCTTTAATGCGGTCTCATAATGATGAGCATTCTGATGTTCTTCCAGTTTTGGATGTTTGCTCATTGAAGCATGTGGCATATGTTTTTCAAGCCCTTATATATTGGATTAAAGCAATGAATCAGCAGACAACATTGGATACACCTCAACTGGAACGCAAAAGGTATCCATACTTGCCGTGGGATTGGTTTAGGGAATACTTGTTTGCTCAGTGTGGTCTCTTAGTATATTGTCTGATTTTTGGAGTGAAGAGAACAGTGAACTAAAGAGAAAATAGTAAAGGAATGTTTCATTTGGGATAGTGGGTTTGAGTCTGTTCACCCTTTCTCCATTGCTGCTCCTCGCTTAAAACAGGAAAGCTAAGAATTTAGTTAAGCTTTATGCCTGAGATAGTTTGTCATGTTTTCTATTAGAGTCTGTGTAAGTCCTCACTATTTCTTAATGTGGTTATCCTTTTGCTTTTCTTGAGCCTCTTTTGTAATTGTAGTATAATTTGGCTGGTCAGTCTAACATTCCCCAAGTCTAAAACTTGATCACAGTGTTTGAAATTGGCTAGATACTTAACTGACTTTTTCAGTGCTTTTTTTGCTTGTAGTTCCCATCACCTTTGCTCCATACTTCACATAAAATGACTCACTTGTCTTTTTAAAGGACGCGAGAACTCTTGGAACTGGGTATTGATAATGAAGATTCAGAACATGAAAATGATGATGACACCAATCAAAGTTAGTGTACAGAAAATCTGCTAATCTACTTCAAGAAATGGCTGCCTCAGTATTTCCCCTTCAAGCTTTTTAACTTCATTATTTTCTGTCTGGGTGGGAATTTCTCTTTTCTTCTCTATGTCCCATTTCTTGCATTTTCTGTCCATTTTTCCTTATATATCCTTGCATTATTTGCTTCATAAATAAGGATGAATTAAAGAAATGTAGTGAACTTGTTAACAGTCAGTATTTTTTGTTTTTGTACCTTTTGCATTTTAGTTTTATGTTTACCTTTATTCTTAAGTGTGTAAGTACTACATTTTTAAAGTCTTAGCAGAACCTTTATTGATATTGGTGCAAGATATATTTAGTCAAGAAAATGAGAAATATCAGTTATAACTCCCAAATATGAAAAATCTTAACAGTTATTAAATGCAATAAAAAGAAAATATTCCAAACTCAAGAAATTTTGGGGTCTTCTGCAATCTCTTTGTAATTTTTAGCTGTTCTTTGAAGTAGAATTTAAAAAATTTGTCCTCTTGCCTATTTTCTTATTATCAACTAGTGCTTTTATTCAGCCCAGGGAAAGACAACTGACGTAACTGCTGTTGTTTGAAACTCAGCCATAGCTCACTATTTTTACAGCATGTACTGTAAGCTTACTGTCGACAGTTGTATTACATTAAGGGGAGATGGTGTTCTTGTGCTGACTTAGTGTTGAGATGAAGGAGATGCCCAGACATTTTTGTTTTGTAGAGAAAGCAGAACTTGGAAGTAAACAAATGCTCATATCTCAGCTCCTGACCATCTCCTCCTTTTAGAATCCTCAGTGAGCCGCATCCTGAATGTGCTTAGGAATCTAGCTATATTCAGGTCTGAATCTTCTAGAAAGACAGAGGATATGGGAAATGTCTGTCCAGTACAAAGTGAAACAATATTTGTTATTCCTAATACTTTGTAAAAAGTCTTACTGTTGTGTTAAAATATACCTAATAGAATTTACCATTGTAACCGTTTTAAACTGCTAGTATTTTCAATTATCACCTAAAAATACCATCAAAATTTTGGACTATTGTTTTTGAGTGGCATTAAAATTTTGTAAAGAGGGAATAGGAATTTCAGATTGAGCAGATTAAGATTCTTTTATTGTTCCCCAATAACTAGTTTTTTCTAAAAAACAAATACTTTATCTCTTTATGTTTAGGTGCTACTTTGAATGATAAGGATGATGACTCTCTTCCTGCAGAAACTGGTCAAAACCATCCATTTTTCCGACGCTCAGACTCCATGACATTCCTTGGATGTATACCCCCAAATCCATTTGAAGTGCCTCTGGCTGAAGCCATCCCTTTGGCTGATCAGCCACATCTGTTGCAGGTGATTTAAATAAACTAGTCTTAGAAGGTTTCTTTTTAAGTGACTTTTTTTTTTTTTTTAAAGTGTTCAGTGTAACTAGAATATTTCTGTTAAAATTCCAGCCAAACGCTAGAAAGGAGGATCTTTTTGGCCGTCCAAGTCAGGGTCTTTATTCTTCATCTGCCAGTAGTGGGAAATGCTTAATGGAGGTTACAGTGGATAGAAACTGCCTTGAGGTAAGATAGTAAAGATCTTCACAATATAATATTTGTGAGGACTTATCCCAGTATCTAGAGTTTTGGAAATGCATTAATCCAGAATATCGTGTTGCCTCAAATAATGTAAGTATCAGAAATTCCTGCCTTATGTCATAATTCCATATAATTTCAGAATTCCATCAGTATCACTAGCCTGCCTTGATACTAACTTGTTTCATCAGGTGACTTCATCTGTAAAATGGCAGTTTCATTTTGTGTTTTGCCTGTTTCACAGAGTTGAGTGTTGTAATGCTGCTGAAAATTAAAATCTTTAAATGTATATATAATGTGAATATATCTTTTTATATATGAGCATACACAGTATTGACTTGAAACTTTTCTTTTTGACTGTAGGATGTGAATAAATAAGGTAATATTAATAATGACTTGTTGAATAATTCTGTCTCAATCTTTATAACCATGTTGGGTAAAAAACATGTTTATCTTGATTTTATGGGTAAAAAAAATTGAGGCTTGCAGAGTTTACATACATTTCTTGTGGGAATGTCTGTTATTACACAACTAAGTAAGTGGCGTATCTAGTTTTTAGATAAAAGGTTGATTTGAGAGCCTAAAATTATACCATCCATACTATTTCTCTAGTGAAAATGTAATGAAACGTTTAAGAGCAGGCACTGAATGTAGTTGAATAGAATTTTTTTTGTTTATTATCTAAGTGATAAAGGAGAGTGCAGTCCTGCAAATATTGAAAATATGTAAGACATTTGAGTAACCACAGGTAAAGAGATTCCTTTAAAAGTTCTCTGAGGCTACTGTGGTGAATGCACTGAAACTGCACTGGGTGGTTTCCTGGTGGTCCGCCCAGGGAATCAGAGAAAAGGAACAGGCTGCATCTTTTTAGTTGAAACACCAGAAAGGAATTACGTAACTTCCGTGTGATTTCTGTGGAATATTAGTAAGTTGAAAAGGAAATCTAGTTAGTTTTGTTTTTGTTTTTGTTTTTTAATGTGTAACTTTTAAATGTAAAAATTCACAGGTCCTTCCAACTAAAATGTCTTATGCTGCCAATTTGAAAAATGTAATGAACATGCAAAATCGACAAAAAAAAGAAGGGGAAGAACAGAATATGGTGCCAGAAGAAGCTGAAAGTTCAAAACCAGGGCCATCTGCTCATGATCTGGCTGCACAATTGAAAAGCAGTTTACTAGCGGAAATAGGACTGACTGAAAGTGAAGGGCCACCTCTTACGTCTTTCAGGTATTTGCTAAGTAGAGATAGTTCTTCTGTTGCATTACTTTATGGATACTATAATTCTTGTAAGAATTTTTATTTAGGTATTTTAAAATTTCGTTTGTATGTAAATAATAGAATTAACCGTAATCTTATTTCTGTGTTTTCCTCGTTTATAATCAGATGTTTAAATATTAAATTTGAATTTTCTGGATTTTTTTGGTGACTTTAGTCGTTGATTGACATTCTGACTTTCTTTTATTGAGGATATTCTGACTGTGTTTTTTAATGTTCAGTACTGAGTTAAAGTATATGTCCATGTCAGATTGCCAATTATAGACTTGTTACCAGCAGCTCAGCAAAGGGGACCATGTGAATGACTAGAAAGAACTTTCTAGATTTGTGACTATTTCAGTTACTTGGGCTTCTTTGCCAGGTTCACAGTCAGTAATTACTTTGCAAAAGGTAGGTTCTTTGCTTTCCCAATAAAAATTCGCTAGCATATACATACTGTGGCTCAGTATGGTTAATCACCTAATGATTTGTTGAGTTTCTGCTTTATGCTGTTGTTTGGTTATACTGTCAGATAATTAATTTTGCTTAGGAGTTAAGTGAGTTTAGGAAGCTATATGCATTTTATGTACACAGTTTAACAACCATAAAAAGCAAGGAAGAATTGTGGGCTGGGGTGGCCCAAGTTTTTCAGAGGCAATATGGCTTGCGCTAAGATGTGTAGAATGTGTAGAAGCAAATAGATTGAAGGAGAGAAGAATTAGAGGTAGGGAGACAAGTTAGAAAGAACGCTGTTACTAGGTTCTGGCTAGTGGTAAAAGGGGGCTGAAGTGTAGAATATTGCCTTTGGGGATGAATTAGGAAATTATGGAAAGGAAGAGAAACTCATGAAGTACTTATTCACTCTGGAGGAACAGGGGAAAGAAAAATTAAAATTTGTTTCAAGTTTGTGCAGTAGGGAAATAGATGGTACTACTGAAAGAAATCAAGAGGCAGTGGCATTGAAGTGAAGAAGCCATGTTCAATTTTCCCGTGTTGAGTTGGAGTTACATGTCACGGACATGGGTATATTCAACCCATGGGCTGTTGTGGAAATTCTGGTCTGTTGTGGAAGTTTGAACTAGAGAGGGATCTGGGAATCCTCCAAATGTAGATGGACACTGGACTTTAGGGGAGGAGGTAAAACTGAAGATAAAAGGCAGCTGGGAGATGTATCCTTATGTAAAGGACAGAAGGAATAATGGAGTAAAAATGAGAAGTTCTGTGAAGAATGAGTAGTTATAAAAAGATTCTCTGTTAGAGAGGATGTGTGGACTGAAGTGCTATTAAGAGTTCAGAATATGAAAAAACCAACTAAATTACTGTCATTGACCAAAAACCAGGGGCTTCTTACAGTTGGCCAAATTACTTCCCCCCTCTTCTCTTAAACCTCTTGCAGGCCACAGTGTAGCTTCATGGGAATGGTTATTTCCCACGATATGCTGTTAGGACGCTGGCGCCTCTCTTTGGAACTATTCGGCAGGGTGTTCATGGAAGATGTTGGAGCAGAACCTGGATCAGTATGTGTTGTGAGCACTTTTAATTCTGTTCTGCCTGATAAGAACATACGTCAGAGAATAATTCTGTCATGCATTTTTTTTTTTTAAAGATCCTAACCGAATTGGGTGGTTTTGAGGTAAAAGAATCAAAATTCCGTAGAGAAATGGAAAAACTGAGAAACCAGCAGTCAAGAGATTTATCACTAGAGGTAAAGGTATTTAGATTTTCTAATACTATATATATAGTATGTCACTTATGAAGTTTGAAAACTATTATAACAACCATGTTTCATGTTTAGGGATATATATGTTGTATAATTAAAAATTAAAATAAATGGTAATCACCAAATTTAGAGTAGTACAGTTGGTTTCCTAACATCTCATGATGATCAGTGAATTTTTCAGCCTTTTTTTGTTGTTGTTGTTTTTTAACATTTTTGATGTCCTTCATTCCATTAAGGTGATTATTTTCCACTGATGCTCCAGTGGTCTCTGGGTAGTGGGAGTCCTGAGTCTTTTTTGGCTCCTCAGTCCTTTTCACAGGACTCCAGTAATCTTTGATAACTTCCTTACTTTTTGGTATGTCTCATCTTGTGTATATCCTGTCACAGACCTTAGATCAGCCATTTCTTCAAGAAGCCCTGGTTCCTTTTGGCAGGAAAAAAGGTACTTTGAGTTTATACTCTGGGCTGTAGGGTTGCTCACTACCTACTAGGTTGGTCGTTGTTTCTAGGTCTTTTCATTGCACAGAGCTAGGAAATTCTCCTTTAAAAAAAAATTATATCATAAGTACATACTGATATTTCCAGTTCAGAGTCACGATTTAGGATCACGAGGTTTATTTCCACCTCTTAGTCTTTATTCTCCTTTCTTCCAAACTGAATATCCAACTTCCCAACAACACTAATAAAAGTACTCATTTGCTTTTACCCTACAGCATGTACATAGCAGTCTTGGAATCACAACATCAACACTACCACCCCAAAATAATTATCAAAAAGAGCTTAAGATTTGCAGGGTTTTGTTAGCATATCCAAGTAGAGATATAGTCCAATTGCTTTGTTTTAAAGTCATTTGAAATAATTTTTCTTAGTGTGGTTTTGCTACTAATTTCCATACAACCAGGGTCTTTGTTTCATTTTGCTTTCAGTTTTTAGGGATTGCTTTCTCTTTTTTTTGATTTTGTTATTAATGTAAAATATCTACATAGTGCATGATCAGCTCTGCTGAAGAAGATATATTTAGGGAAATCTAGTTTCCATTTCTGTCTCTTTCACCATGTCCCTCCTCTGCCTTTCATGTTTTTGTTCTTTTGTTGTTGTTTTATTTTCCTCCCGCCTTTAAAAAAAAAAAAATACAGTCGTGTATGTGTGTGTATATAATTCTTTGCCCATCTCTGTCCCCTACTCCTGACTCTGAGTGTGCTACACATTTTACTGTATCTTGCATTTCCCAGTTAACAGTACATCCCAGAGGTAAAGCCATTTCTGTATAGAGCATTGTTCTGTCTTCCTTTTACAGCTGCTCATATTTTGCTGTTACATATAGTAGTGTGATGAATAGCCTTAGGTGTGTTTTTCTTTTGGCAAGTGTGTCTTTGAAATTCTTAGGGGCACCTGGATGGCTCAAGTTGGTTAAGCGTCCGACTTCAGCTCAGGTCATGATCTCATGGTTCATGGGTTCAAATCCCGCATTGGGCTCTGTGCTGACAGCTCAGAGGCTGGAGTCTGCTTTAGATTCTGTGTCTTTCTTCTCTCTGCTCGTCCCCTGCTCACGCTCGCTCTCTCTCTCTCAATAATAAATAAAACAAAACAAAATTTAAACAAAAAAGAGATTCTTAGACATAGAACCTAGACGTGGGTTAAAGGGCATATGCATATATAATTTTGGCAAATACTGGAAAATACTTCTGCCTGATGGTTACATATTTTTGCACTTGCAACATTAATACAAGAATGCCTGATTCTCTATAGTTCTGCCAGCAGTTTGTCAGAGTTTTAGATTTTTGCCCATCCAATATGTGCATCTTAGAGTAGTTTTAATTTGCTTTTTCTTATGAGCAAGTTAAACATTGTTTCATATATCTAAGAATATTACTTTTTCTGTGAACTGTTTGGTACATTTTGCCCATTTTCTATTAAGTTTTTCTCAATTTTTTTATTCTTTATTTTTTTAAATTTTTTTTCAACGTTTTTAATTTATTTTTGGGACAGAGAGAGACAGAGCATGAACGGGGGAGTGGCAGAGAGAGAGGGAGACACAGAATCGGAAACAGGCTCCAGGCTCTGAGCCATCAGCCCAGAGCCCAACGCGGGGCTCGAGCTCACGGACCGCGAGATCGTGACCTGGCTGAAGTCGGACGCTTAACCGACTGCGCCACCCAGGCGCCCCTTCTCAATTTTTTTAGAAACATATCTTAACAGTAATATGTATACTATTCATGAATACCTGTCTGTAATAGAAGGCACCAGTTGCTTTTCCCAGCTTGTCATTTTTCTTATACTTTGTGCTTTTTTGTCACCAAAGGAATATCCCATGTTTTCTAGTATTTGCTGTTTTTTACACAACACATACTTTTGATTCACTTGGAATTGATCCTAGTATATTACAAAATTGAACAGATTGCTGTCTTCCAATGAACTTACTTAGAAAATGTTAGAATTTAGGGGGCGCCTGGGTGGCTCAGTCGGTTAAGCGTCTGACTCTTGTTTTTAGCTCAGGTCATGATCTCACGGTTTCATGGGATCGAGCCCCAGCTTGGACTCTGTGCTGGCAAAGTGGAGCCTGCTTGGGATTCTCTCTCTCTTTCCCTCTCTCTGTGCCCCCTCCTGCTTGTGCTCTCTCTGTCTCTCTCAAAATAAATAAATAAAACTTTGAAAAACAACAACAACAACAAAGAAAATGTTAGAATTGAGTTTAATTCCATTATCCTGATTTAATGCAGGACATTCCTGTATGCTTTAGAATGTTTCTTATGTGGAATGTATAAGCTTCTAAGAATCCACATTACTTTGTAGTTAAACTGTCAACAGGAAGCTAAAATTACATTTTCAGATTTTACATAGGAAAATTTCAGGGTGGTTTCTAACATAGAACTTTACTACTCTCTGGTGTTTTCATAGGTTGATCGCGATCGAGATCTTCTTATTCAGCAGACCATGAGGCAGCTTAACAATCACTTTGGTCGAAGATGTGCTACTACACCAATGGCTGTACACAGAGTAAAAGTCACATTTAAGGATGAACCAGGAGAGGGCAGTGGTGTAGCACGAAGTTTTTATACAGCCATTGCACAAGCTTTTTTGTCAAATGAAAAACTGCCAAATTTAGATTGTATCCAAAATGCCAACAAAGGCACTCATACGAGTAAGTACAGATAATAAACATCATAAAAATTATTTGGATAGACGGACTTGGTGAAGGGGATTAAGAGGAAAAAACATTCTTATTTGAGCAAAAACAATTACAGTCACAGTTAAATGTATTTATAGTGGGAGAACTTTACTGCACATTTCCATTTTTATACAATTATATTCTAGATTAGTGATTTATTCTTATTTAAACTATTTTAGTCAACAGATTAGGACTTTGTTCTTTTACTGCCATGTTTTCATAAATGTTTGTGATGGTACTAGTGAGTTTCTCCTCTCAATTGTTACATGTTTTGAGGAGTGGGAAGTTGTAAGCTCTATGGTAACAGAAAAATTCAGTGAGCACATTACATTATTTCCATCACCCCTGTATATTTAATTAGTACAGACACTGAAAATCCTTTTCTCTAGAGCAGTGCTATTCAAAGGACAATGTGCAGAGTTGATACTGGTCCCCAACGAGACACAGAGCTTGCAACCAAATGTAGATTGGTTGACTGTGTTACTAACCTCACTGTATAATTTAACAAGACATTGTTTTTTTGGTAATAAGATTTTCTTTATTAATATCCTACTGTAAGCTCTACCTCTTTGAGGACCAGCACTTTGGGATTAGGATTCTTACCTAATTTTCAAATTAAAAAGATCTGTGAAAATGACAGATGCCTTAAGTAGGTATAATTGGGGATTCATATAAATAAGGGGCAGAAGATTGTCATTTCATAGGTGGCTAATTCAGCGAGAGGACATTACTAATAAGAAAATCCTCTTTTTCACCTAGGCTGTAGTGCTGTTGTGTTGAGTTCTGAAAAATGCCACCATAGACTAGGCTCAGTGAGCTCTAGGAAGGATTGAGGATGAAAAGATGGGGAGAGCCCTGCAGCCTTTCATCATTAGTTTTACCGTTTGACTTTCTGTAGTCTTACAATAAAAAGAAAATGGCAGATGTGAATGAGGGAGCCTTGGGAAGTCATAACATTTTAGAAATCACTGTTTCCTGCACATTCTTTAGGAAACCATACTCTGGCTTATGGTTAAGGTTTTGAAAATAATAGTAGCTGATGTTTTGGGTGGCCTATATTTTGCTTAATGCCCAAAACTAAATAAATCTGACTCTAATCATATACGAAACTTCAGCATTATTTATGGTAAAACTAACAGCCCCAGTTGCTATATATCATTTCACAACTGTGACATAATTCATTAAATACATACTGATCGGGGGCGCCTGGGTGGCGCAGTCGGTTAAGCGTCCGACTTCAGCCAGGTCATGATCTCGCGGTCCGGGAGTTCGAGCCCCGCGTCAGGCTCTGGGCTGATGGCTCGGAGCCTGGAGGCTGTTTCCAATTCTGTGTCTCCCTCTCTCTCTGCCCCTCCCCCGTTCATGCTCTGTCTCTCTCTGTCCCCAAAATAAATAAATGTTGAAAAAAAAAAAAATTTAAATACATACTGATCGAACATCTATTACGAGCCAAGTACATTCTATATAATTACCCCTAGCCTTCAAAACCATAGGGAGAATGAGTGGAAGGTACTAACAGATGTTAAGGGAGGTAATTTTCACCTGTCATGTTCTTAAGTTGGTCTCATGTCCTCACATTAACTTTGACAGTTAAAATAGTTTCATTTACATTTATCTAAACAAAGTATGTTTTATATTTTCTTTCAGGTTTAATGCAGAGATTAAGGAACAGAGGAGAGAGGGATCGGGAAAGGGAGAGAGAAAGGGAAATGAGGAGGAGTAGTGGCTTGCGAGCAGGTTCTCGGAGAGATCGAGATAGGTGAGATAATTTTGTTTCTTTTATTGAATACCACCTTAGGGAATGAAATTGGAGGTAGGCCTGGAATGAGAGGATCTCAATTATGGACTATTTTTTAGGAAAAGTTTTAGTATTTGGGTATATGTATAGTAACTGTACTGTTATTAAAATATTCTGCTTTAAAAACCCAGGGGCAGTTGAAATTACATAACTATCATTCATTCTTTCCTAAATTTGTCTTAAAATTTTAATTGTGGCAATTGTATTATATTTAAACCTTAATTTTTGTATGAGGGTGGGTGGCATTTAATTTGGACTAAAACTCCTAGGAAATGTGAGTGGATTCTTGATAATCTGGTATTTTATGGTCCTACTCCCTTAGAATCAAATTGAACTACGTATTACAAATTTATAGAGTTTTGAGTATTAATGTCTAGAAAACCTTTATTTCCCAACCATCATCTATTAAGCATTCTGCCATCTTGATAATTAGAGCTGCCTATATGCTTTGGTTTTCCATCTCTATTACTGGTTGTGCTGATGTTATTTTGCAGACAAGGGAGATGAATTATAATAGCTTTGTTCTTCTTTCAGAGACTTTAGAAGACAGCTTTCCATTGACACTAGACCCTTCAGACCAGCTTCTGAAGGGAATCCTAGTGATGATCCTGATCCTCTGCCAGCACATCGTCAGGCACTTGGAGAGAGACTTTATCCCCGAGTGCAAGCAATGCAACCAGTATGTATGGTACACTTAGTCCCTCTTAACTGGCTGTGCCATTTTTGTTTTTGAAAGAGAGACACAGTGTGAGCAGGGGAGGGGCAGCGAAAGGGAAGGAGACACAGAATCCAAAGCAGGCTCCAGGCTCTGAACTGTCAGCGCAGAGCCCGACATGGGGCTCAAACCCACAGACTGTGAGATCATGACCTGGGCCGAAGTCGGACACTTAACCGACTGAGCCACCTGGGCGTCCTCATTTTTGTTTTTGGATTAAAGCTGGTATTTTAAAAAGTTGTTAGCTACTGGCCATTCAAGTGGTTGAGGACTGTAGTAACAAAATGGAAGCTTTAAGAGGGAAAGCTGCAAAATGTGCTGGAGGGTAGCTTGAGGTTTGTTTTTTCCACCTATGTTAAGTTGGCTTCTACCTGATAAGTTCCTTGTGTGCTAAAGAATTATCTGTGCGTTCAATTTGTACCTTTATTTGTACAAATTGTTACCTTTTGACGCAGACTTTTTAATCTGTTAACAAGTTGTAGCTAAAACATTGCAAATACTGTACTTTCTTTATTGCTGTTACCTGTTGCTAGGAGATTTTTATATTGAATGTCCTGTCAGGTTTCTTTCATATAGTATGAAACATAAACTAGTGGTTTTTTGTTTGTCTTTATACATAACATATTTCTTTCAGTAAATCCTTAGCCTTAAACATAGGCATCTTTCATCTCCCTCCTTTACTTCTTCCCTCCCTTTCTTTTCTTCTGCCCTACATGTAAGAAATGTTTCTGCCTCTCTGTAGTGAGAAAAAATGGAAATCAAGTATTTGTGTGTTTACTCATGGATATCAAAAATAAAGGCTTGTCATACAAATTTTAAACTAGCTTTAACAAGACTACCAAAGTTCTCTATAATTAAGCTTCTCATTTAATAAAATACCTTACTGGTTTAGAAATGTTTTGTTTCCAGGTTTCTTAATTTTCTTTCTCCTTTTTTTTTTTTTTTTTTTTTTTTTTTTTTTTTGGGATAAAAGATTGTTGATTTAGACAGGTTTCAGAGAGTGGGGGCAAGTAACATTTGCTCATTGTTTGCAGGCGTTTGCAAGTAAAATCACCGGCATGCTGTTGGAATTATCCCCAGCTCAGCTGCTTCTCCTTCTAGCAAGTGAAGATTCTCTGAGAGCAAGAGTGGATGAAGCCATGGAACTCATTATAGCACATGGACGGTAAAGTATATAATTGGGAAGGTATTTCAGTTTAAACATCAACTACTTTAAGATATGGTGGCACTACATCCTAAAAATAAAATTTATACTATAAATACATGACATTAAATGTTTTTTGAAGAGATGGCTTAAAATTCACGAGTGACAGTTGAGTTTCAAATGTATTAGAAAGGTAGAATTTTAGCGTGACTTATGCTCTAAAAATCTTTTATATACCTGAAATTTAGAAATTACTTGAAAAAAGTACATCCCAAATTCTCTACCAGAATACCCCTGATGGCAGAGGCCAGATACTTCAAGGAATTGGTGTGTAGTCCCTGAGTTCTTGCCATAAGCATGAAATTTCTTTTAGGACTTCTGATTTGTTTAAAAAATTCCTGTAAGTTTTTGCTTTCTGTTGTGTAATATATTTCTTTTACTGTAAAACCTAAAATCATCTAACAGCTAAATAATTCTTTTCCCAGGGTGACATCAGGAAGATATGCCAAACTTATTCGGTGCCTTCTGTTCTGGGGCCACTCTGATATCCAGTTTGGCTTTGAAATGTTAATTCTTATTTTCTTAATGTTTATTTTTATTTATTTTTTTTCAATATATGAAATTTATTGTCAAATTGGTTTCCATACAACACCCAGTGCTCATCCCAAAAGGTGCCCTCCTCAGTACCCATCATTTTAATGTTTATTTTTGAGAGAGACAGACAGATCGCAAGTGGGGGTGGGGGGTGGGCAAAGAGAAGGGGAGACCCAGAATCTGAAGCAGGCTCCAGGCTGAGCTCTCAGCACAGAGCCCAATGCGGGGCTGAAACTCACAAACTATGAGATCATGACCTGAGCTGAAGTCAGACACTTAATAACCAACTGACCCACCCAGGCACCCCTAAGTGTTATTTTAGTTCCATGAGGAACTTGGATTGGATATAGTCCTAAGAAATGGATAAGTGGGTAGGCTAAGCACTGAAACTTAATAGCCACTTATCTGTTTCATAGCCTTTGAATGGTCGAAGCAAAAAGACCACTGCTAGTTTATTTTCTTTACTGTTAAATTATTTTTTTTCTTCTCTGGGCTTTTATGTGCTGTTTCTTCATTCCTTTTCCCAGTCTCTGGACGTAATCAACACCATGATAGAGCTCAGCCCATTATAGGAAAGGTTTTGAGGGATGTGCATTTTGATAAAAAGATGGTTATAAACGGGGGCTCCTGGGTGTGGCTGAGTTGGTTAGGCATCGGACTCGACTTTGGCGGAGCCTGCTTGGGATTCTCTCTCCCTCACTTTCTGTCCCTCCCTGGGTCATGTGTGTACTCTGTAAATCAACAAATAAATTTTATAAAAATCTTTCTTAAACATATGTAAGGTTTCCATTATTAGTAGTATTTTCTACTGAATGCAAGTCAAAGACTTGCATTCAGTAGAAGACTTGAAGACTGCTTTCAGCTGGCTTTATAAAGTAAATAGTGAATTTATTAGTATTCTAGAATAATTAAATACACTAAGGAATTCAGTTCCCATTGTGATTGCTTTCTGAACATTTTCTGTTCTCTTACAATGCTCCCTGTGAGCCTAATCTTCAGTCCTCCTGTGAAGACTGCATTTATTTTGTCTTAAACCAGGTAGCCTTTGTCTCATTATCTTGAATCACACACGTAAAATCTGTTTTTTGTGTGTATATAATACTGACTTCTCTGCTCTTATATATGCACTAAGACTAGTAAGTGCCCTAGGTATTTATTTCAAAACTTTAAATGTATTTATAAATTCTTATAAATTCAAATGCATGTTTCTCTACACTAAATTTTAGAAGTTTCAGTTATCTGGAATGTGAAAGGTTATTTTGTTTGTTTTTAGGGAAAATGGAGCTGATAGTATCCTGGATCTTGGATTATTAGACTCCTCAGAAAAGGTACAGGTAAGAGATATTTTGTACATGTGCTAATAATAAGCACTTGGAACTCTAATTTAGCACAGCCTGAATTAAGCTTGAATTTAGAGATGTCATGAATTTCTTAGGGCTTATTCCTTAAGGAAGAATTGAGTGCCAAAGATGCAGAGAAAATGAGACATGTGGAGGAGAGCAGTAAAGAAGGCTTTTTTAGCACATGATGTATTTCATTCTTGAGCTACCTGAGAACTTCACTGCCACTCAAGGTGGAGCAAACCCAGTATAATCTTATCTCTTCCATTGACTACAACTAAAAACTGAACAAAATGCGAAAAGGAACTGCCTGAGGATTCTAAAAAGTAGACAATAGCATACAGATTATAGAGGAAAGTCAAAACTTGAAAAACAGCTGGTATGGTATTGTTTCAGGCACGAGAGTAAGCTGATCCCCTTTTACTCCCACCATAGTTGGAAGATAGAAAAGGCTCTGAGAACTAAACTGTGGTATGAAACCATTGTCCAAGTCCCAGACTATTACAGATGGTGCTGGGCAGACCCAAACAGTATGATAGAAGGCTGTGAAAATTTGTTACTGGAATCATTGCACATAGATGTGACATTTCAGTCTGAATCTAACCAGGTCGATTGCCTCCTAAAACCGCAAAATATCACCATTCTCCCCTATCATTTTAACAAGACCCAGAGTTTCACAACATAATATTTAAAAGGCCCGGGAGGCATTCCAAAATACAAAGAGCCAGGAAAGACCAACCAGTTTTCCTGGGAAAAGACCCAGTAGATACCAACTTCAAGATGAACTACTTGTGTTGGAATTAAAAGAGTATCTAAAAGAAAAAAATTCGCCAGATAGGTCAATAGCAGAATGAAGATGATGGGAAAGTGTCAACTTTTGTAGATAGAAATTATCTACTCTGAAGAACAGAGAGAAGATTCTGAACAAAAGAACAATTTTTTGGATCTGTGGGACCATATCAAAAGATCAAACATCCAAGTCATTAGAGTATCCAGAAGAAGAGATATTCCTGTAGCAACAGGAAAATATGTGAAGAAATAGTAACTGAAAACTTACCAAATGTGGTACACGACATAGATTTATAGATTCAAGGTACTCAGTGAACCCTAAATAGGATAAAGTGAAAGAAAACTATATATTATCATCGAACTGCTGTAAAACCAAGCAAAGAATAGTGCCTTATGTATAGAGAAACTGATTTGAAAGACCATGGATTTCTCATCAGAACTGGTATAGGCCAGAAGACAGTGGTTCATCATCCTCAAGAGTGCTTTAAGAATTGTCGATCCAGGGGCACCTGGGTAGCTCAGTCGGTTAAACATCTGACTTCAGCTCAGGTCACGATCTCACACTTGTGGGTTCAAGCCCCATGTCAGGGTCTGTGCTGACAGCTCAGAGCCTGGAACCTGCTTCAGATTCTGTGTCTCCCTCTCCCTCTGCCCCTCCCTTGCTCTCTCTCTCAAAAATAAAACAAACATTAAAAAAAAAGAGAGTTGTCAATCCAGGGGCACCTGGGTGGCTCAGTCAGTTAAGCATCAAACTCTTGGTTTTGGCTCAGGTCATGATCTCATGGTTCATGAGATCAAGCCCCACATTAGGCTCTGTGTTGACAGTGCAGAGCCTGCTTGGGATTCCTTCTCTCTCCCTCTCCCTCCTCCTCCCCTGCTTACAGTCTGTCTCTCAAGAAGTTAATCCAGAATTCTATATCCAGCACAAATATCTTTGAGGAATTAAGGGGAAAGAAGCTACCATTTTCATTAGTGATTTTTTTTTAAATGGACAGAGAAGGATTTAACAGGCCTGAGCTTCCTGTACCACAGTTCTGAAAGGATGAATTTAAAAGTTTATTTACAGGGGCGCCTGGGTGGGTCAGTAGGGCATCCAACTGGATTTCAATTCGGGTCATGATCTCAGAGTTCAGTTTGTGAGATCGAGCCCCTCGTGGGCTATGCACTGATAGCATGGAGCCTGCTTGGGATTCTCTCTCCCTCTCTCTGGGCCCCTCCCCCATGTGCATGCACTCTCTCTCAAAATAAACTTTAAAAAGAGTTTATTTACATTTAAATGTTGCTTTACCTGCCTGACTTCACTTTCAATGACTTTAGAAATGACTTTAGTCATTTCAATGACTAGTTTATATGTTTTGTTTTAAAAATCAGTTTGGGGACTTAATCTCTGATATTCTATTATTAGGAAAACCGAAAGCGTCATGGTTCTAGTCGAAGTGTTGTAGATATGGATTTAGACGATACAGATGATGGTGACGATAATGCCCCTTTGTTTTACCAACCTGGAAAAAGAGGATTTTATACTCCACGGCCTGGCAAAAACACAGAAGCAAGATTGAATTGTTTCAGAAACATTGGCAGGTAAAATAATCCTAATCTTACATTTGAATTTTTATAAAATTTCAGTTCAAGAGTTTTCTAAAACAGTTTTTAAAATGTGTATATGCTCTATTTCATACTGATTAGAAATGAGGCTGTAGAAAATTTCTCAAAATACTGTATATATATTATGTATGTATGTGTGGGGTTATATATGTTCTAGAATTATTTTCAAATTTAAATATATTTCCCTGTTTTTATTTTTAGGATTCTTGGACTATGTCTGTTACAGAATGAACTATGTCCTATTACATTGAATAGACATGTAATTAAAGTGTTGCTTGGTAGGAAAGTAAGTGATTTTAATGAACCTAACTGCTTTTACAATTGCAAAATTTTCCTTTTATAGCCATTATAAGTCATTTTCAAACCTTTAATGACATGGGAAAAAAAATCTCAATACATGGAGGAGATAGCATAGCAGAGTGGGTGACACAGGTGGGTTTGACAGTGTCTGACAGACCTGGATCTTGTTGCAGACAAATCCCCTGACACCTATCGCAGATTTTCCCATTTAGAAAATGGTAAAACTATATAGTGCCTGGTAAGTGCTCAATAGATTTTAACGATTATTATTTGTTCAAACAGGTGGTAGTGGAAGTAGTAGTAGTATTTTATTGAAAAGAGCATTGTTGGCTTCAAAAATCTGTGTAAGATGTACAGGAGGGAGGGGGACAAAAGAATGTAAGAAAATCCAGCATAGCATGCTTGATCTTTATCTCTGGGTGATAGAATTAGCTTAATTTCCTTATATGCTTCGATAGTTTGCCTGCCTGCACATTCTTTTTATACTGGGAGGAGGGGAAAAAACCACATCCTTTAAAATTAATGCATAATACCAACTATGCAGCTTTTGGTTTAAAATGTAACTGCCAGTGTTTTAAAGGTATTATAAAGAAATTACTTGACACAAAACAATGAAATATTTTAGTCTTTTCCAGCAATGTATATCGCACATCTGATACAAATTAACACTGTTAAAGCTGTAGTCGATTTTTTTTAATCACATTCACTGATGAATAGTTTTCTATTAATACAGCATATCATATGTATGTGGGTGTATATACATGTGTGTGTGTATATATATATATATACATATATATATGTATGTGTGTATATATATATATATTTTAACTCTGACCCTGTTGAATTCTTAAAATATTCCAGCTAAATGTTCTTGTCCAAAGAGGAACTAGGTTTAAAGCTCAGCAACAGCTCAGAAATGTTGATATGTGGATTCTTTAACGAGGTTTATGGAAAAGATCATGGAATCAAATAGACTCCAGTATAACCCAATGATATGACTGTCAACAAGTTATTGAATTCCTTTGAGCATCAGATTCATCATCTAGAATTAATAATCTATTTTATTATAATCAAGACTAAATAGGATATATATTAAGGACCAGCTGCTTAGCATAATCATTGTTTAATAATTAATGCAGGATTTTTGCAAATTATTTTGTAACTTAAACTCCTCCATTACTGGCTTTTTTTTTTTTTTTTTTCCAAAATATATGTTACATTTTTTATACCTTGAAAATTAAATATGTTATCAGAGCCAAAGATTAAAATTTTATCTTTTTAAATCAGTTTTAATATACTTAGTGGAATATTATTCTTTATACCTTCAAATTAGATAAAATTGTAGTGAAGATGTTTTATAATTGAGTTCCATATGATTACTTCCTTAGGTCAATTGGCATGATTTTGCTTTTTTTGACCCTGTGATGTATGAGAGTTTACGGCAACTTATCCTCGCTTCTCAGAGTTCAGATGCTGATGCTGTTTTCTCTGCAATGGATTTGGCATTTGCAATTGACTTGTGTAAAGAAGAGGGTGGAGGACAGGTAAAGCAAATATGTAACTTTCTGATTCTGGCAAGAGAATTTGGTTAGTCTGTTGTGCTTATTTTATACAGAAACAGTTTGGATGGGGACATAGAGCGAGAGACACACACACAAACATGCAGAGAAAAGACACACTGGACTGACAGGCATAGAGAGAAGGATGGAGGGTTAATGAGACAGACTGAAAGGTAGTTTTTAGTGCTTATTTAGGCCTAAATTCTTGCATCCCTTAGATATTGGTCAGCAATTTGTGTTTAGATTTTAGAATTTTAGGGAATTATTTTATGAACTGTAGACTTACTACTGCTTTGACCAAATTGCTTTTAAATGGCAGTGCTAAATTATTACAGGTTGAACTTATTCCTAATGGTGTAAATATACCAGTCACTCCTCAGAATGTGTATGAATATGTGCGGAAATATGCAGAACACAGAATGTTGGTAGTTGCAGAACAGCCATTACATGTGAGTATTTTCTCAAAAGTGTTATTTGATCTGATGAGGCTATTTGTGTCTTCACGTGGTAAACTATTTCAGAGTGTATTCAGCTTGCCTATAAAAGGTTAAAATTTTTAAACCAAATTAATTTATGTACAGTGTAAGTTACACCTGAATCCAGACCAAGCATTCACCTTCTGTTGGGTAAAACTACTTGGATAAACTATATGATCATCAAAGTCAATTTGGTGAGTAAAAGTTCAGAAAGGATTCTTGTGGAACTGAAATGACTACTGTTTTGGGGTCCTACCACCACCCATACTTGAAGGCGACTGACTAGAAGGACTCCAAGGCAATAGTACTGATAGTTATGGTTTATTGTAGCAAAAGGACTCCCGGCAAGGGAAAAAAGTACATCAAACCAAATCTGGAGGAATCTAGGTGCAGGCTTCCAAAGTTCTCTCTCTGGGGCCATGGGTTGTCACAAAGAATATACTACTTTCCTCCAACAGTGAATTAGAAACACATGGACAGTGTTTGTGTTTAGAGAAGCCTGCTTAAGAGTCACAGCTCAGGTTTTATATTAGAGGCCAGTCCTGTAAGCATTTTCTGCCTATGCAGCCAGCCCTGATTACTGAAATTTAGACTGTTAGAGGCATGTGTTCATCATAAGTCACATTGTCTGCACAAATAGTCTAGGTAAGCTGGCACAGCAGGGTTCATTGCTCCAGGCATTCAGAACAGCCGTATCAGTAATGTAGGGGGAACATTCCAAAAACCAAGTTTCCAGATGCCAGCCAAGGACCATCCCCCTCCAGGAGAGCCTTCTAAAGAGCAACATCAGGCCTGCTGTATTTGTCAAGTGTTCTGATCTCTGTGCTGGGAATAATTGTGCAGGCTCTGAAGTCCTGTCAGGATTCAAATCATGGCTGCAACACTCTTTAGCTGCTATATGACACTAGCAAACTAAGTATTTTGTGCCTTGGTTCCCTCTTCTGCAAAATGAGGATAGAATTAAATGCATTAATACATGTAAGGTGCCTAAGAACAGTTCATGGCACATTGTAATTTCTCAGTGAGCCTCTAGATTTTGAGTTTGTGTTCTTTTGTCGTACTTTTCATAGCATGTGACAGGATAGCATGTTCGACAAATTGAAGCTATTCTTGCTTCATGAGTAGCCTATTTTATTAATGTGTAAATTATTTCAGTTAAATCCTGGTGTATAACAATATGGTTTCACTTTTGAACCTATTGCCTGCCTATTCGTGATGCCTTTTTTCCCCCCTCTGCCTCTCTTTTGAATCTGTCAATTTAAAAATACTTAATTTTATTTCTTTCTCTCTGGTTTAAATGAGAACTAGTATTCTTAGGCTGCTAAAGTTAGATATTGGGCTTTAACAACAAAAAATGCTACATGGAAAATAAAGTACTCAGAGTAATAAAAAGGTAATTTTTAAAATATTCTGTAGGCAATGAGGAAAGGTCTACTGGATGTGCTTCCCAAAAATTCATTAGAAGATTTAACAGCAGAAGATTTTAGACTTTTGGTAAATGGCTGTGGTGAAGTTAATGTGCAGATGTTGATCAGTTTCACCTCTTTCAATGATGAATCAGGTAGGAGATTTTGTGAATGTTTATTTAAGGAATACACTTGATAAATTTACAGGGTTTAGAAATGCTGTATAACTCCGGTGTTCAAGGCTTTTTGTGTACATTTTTAAGATATTATTGAACTATGATGGCTTAGCATTAGGTTATTCTTAAATCTTTGGTTAACATTTCTAGGTTTTTAAAGAGTATATGGTTTAGATTGAATACAAGTAAAACTTCATTGTGGTGAGCAGCTATGTAAATGGATTTTGTATACTAAGAAAATATAATCCATGTGACAGTTCTATTGGCCTTTCCCAATTCCTCCTAATCTCTTAGACTCTCTAATTAAAGAATTTGACTGCATGGTGTTTGCTCTGTAGAAGTGGACCCAGAGCTCACTTACAAAGACATAATAACATACAAACACATGGAAAATCCAGAAAGAATAACAAGAGGTAGTGATATTCCTCCTAGAATAACATTTACCTTCAGCGCCTGATTTTCTGTAACACTTCGTTTTCAAGTGGCCTAGGAATAGAATTTGAGCTGTGACTATACCATAAAGACACTGGAAGCCATGAAATTCCTTATGGAAGGATTACACCTATAGTCCAAAATTATTGCCTACGTGAAGGCACTGATTTTTCCCCCTTTTTCATATTTTGCAAACAGCTTCAGCTAAATTATAGCAAGTTAAATTTTGTTTTTTCTTCATGCTTGACAACGTATAGATTCATTGTAAAATAGTTTCTGTACTACTTTTTAGTATAGTTTTCAATACTGGTGAGATGAGAATTTGTCTCATTTACAAACCAAAAACCTAAGAGGGAAAAATAAATACCTAAGGACCCTCCATATATGATCCTCAGATTAGCAGCATCGGTGTCATCTAGAAGTGTTTTAGAAATGCAGAATTTCAGTTCTTTTCCTCCCTTCTCCCAGACCTAGTAGATGCGAATCTGTATTTTAAAAAGATCCCCAAGTAATTTGTAAATTCATTAAAATTTGTGAAGCACTGGTGCAAGTTCAACAGATAGGATTAAAGTATTGATGATCAGTTTTGAGGCTGATGATCCATTTTTCTTGGTCATCTTAAGTCAGGATTGAGTAATGAACTATAGAAGTTTTACATTGTACAAATGGTCCTAATTTCCTATATTAGGAATTAAACCCCTGATCCTAAATAACAGTTCTGTATCTATTTTTTATAAGAAGCAGTGTTTTAAAGTAATAATTGGTACAGTATATTGGATTTATATTTTTCATAGGAGAAAATGCTGAGAAGCTCTTGCAGTTCAAGCGTTGGTTCTGGTCAATAGTAGAGAAAATGAGCATGACAGAACGACAAGATCTTGTAAGTTAAAATTTTTACAAAATTAGCAAAACAAAATATGAAATGTTAAAATACTGTGTATGATAACCTTTTAAGTTTGTAATGGTTGGTCATTTTAATTTTGGTTAAGGAAAATTATAGAAGGTCAGAAATATAAGGCAGTTTTGGTTTTCTTAGTCCCAGAAGAAAATACCAGTTGATTGTTGAGACAAATGTTTCTTTTTCCCTATAGTGCTTACATATGCTGGCTGCTCCTTTTATATATCCTTAATCCTTTTGACCAGTGGCAAGCCTTTGCAAAATTTCTAAATAGTATCTTGATTGCTATCTGTATAGTGTACTAAGAATAGAGTAGCTTATGATATGTATTAAGTCTGTGATTTTAATGTTACTACTTATTTTTAGAATCATAAATTAGATAATATAAACTTTGATCATAGTGAAAGCCTACCAAGTCAGTGGAATCGTAGTCTTCACTAGACTTTATTTGAGAAATTTGTGGGATGTTCCTTACCTAGAAAATTCCAGAGATCCTTTCTGCCATATTCCTCATGGTTCTTTGCGGCGTCTTCCCTATCAAACCAGCCTTAGTTCTTAGTAATTAACAACCATACTTCTTGTGGAATATATTTTTAAAAATCCAGTTTCTAGATATATTCTCCAATTTTATCTGAAAGAGGGGAAATGGTTAGTGTGTGGGAAAGCACAAAACTTGACAGTTTCCCATTTATCTCCAGCTCAGTAGTAACTTATTTTTTGGAGTGGGGGAGTCTGCATTTAGCATCCTTGATTTTTTTTTTTTTTTCATTAAATTTTTTTAAACATTCATTTTTGAGACACAGCATGAGCGGGGGAGGGGCAGAGAGAGAAGGAAACACAGAATATGAAGCAGGCTCCGGGCTCTGAGCTGTCAGCACAAAGCCTGACATGGGGCTTGAACCCACGAAGCATGAGATCGTGCCCTGAGCCAAAGTCTGATGCTAATTAACTTAACGACTAAGCCTCCCAGGTGCCCAGCACTACTTAATTTTTAAATGGACCCAGGAGTCTTCCAGTATTTCTGCACTATAGTGAAACAAGTTGTTCAGTAGTCCTTTTAGCTAGTTCTGTTCTTGGTTTAGCCACTCTGGTAATTTCTACTTCGGTTGTTCCCTAGGTGGATTCCATATAATTCAACTTTCCCAATCTTGTGGACCCTAAAGTCTCTACCAGTGTGCATGGTTTCAGGACCACCTGTACTCAGTTTTTTGATTCAGTTACCTTGTTTCTTTAAGAGCCCATTATTGGTTCAGTAAGACCTATCAAAAACAGAGATAAAAATGATTGGCTATCTGGTATAAATTCTAAGGTTCTGATGGACTTTTTTTTTTTTAAACTATTCCCTAGTACTAACTTTGTTTTTAAACCTAATGTATCCTTAGTCCAGTCAGTCAAGTTAAATTTCACTGTAGTTTCTGCCTTCCACTGGAAGAAAATTTGCTAACTATTCAGTCTTTAAAATCTTTGTAAAGGGCCTCAGGATTTCCTATTAACAGCTTTAATTTGAGGGTCACTCCTATTTACAGGGCTTAAGCATTATATCAAGGGGTTTCCCCCCTCCTCTTTTGAGAAGGATGCTTCACAATTGTTGGTTTTATCCTGATGTGCTGAGGAGAAAAACTAAAGGACATAAGAATATAACAGACCATTCAGAGCAAACTCTTCTTCCTTGGGTTACTAGTCTTGCAAATTATAGGGTTTTTGGGTTAATGGGTAAGACCACATAGTGTATCCTCCTCTTAGAGAGTCACAGTTCACTAGTAAAAGTTCTGAAAAGTCCTGTAGTATTTCTTTTCTTCCAGCTTCTTGACTCTCCAGCAATGGTAGTTATCTACCCTACCTAGCCATATACAACCTTGGAGAAACATTTTACATTAACTTTGTTTTTTTTACCTGTAAAATGAGTAGATTAGACCAGCTTTGTCTCTAGAGCATCTTCCAGTCCTTAAAGTTCTTTGCGGGGGGTATCTAGATGACTCAGTTAAGCATCCAACTTCAGCTCAGGTCATGATCTCATGGCTCATGAATTCGAGCCCACATTGGGCTCTGTACTGACAGCTCAGAGCCTGAAGCGTTCTTTGGACTCTTGTGTCTCCTTCTCTCTCTCTTCCCCTTCCCTGCTCGTGTGCGCACTCTCTCTCTCTCAAAAATACACACACACACATATACATATATATGTAAAGTTCTTTGAAGATTTTATAGACCTGACATTTAGAGTTTCTTTTTCTGCCCCTTCTAGAGAATTAGATAAGATTTCTCATAAAACCATTCTTCAGGAAAGCAAATCATTATGGGGGTTAAGGGCACCAATCTACTGCACAGTTGAAAATCTGAGTATAACTTCTGACTCCCCCCAAAATTTTACTAAAGTTTTTATATTAGTAAACAGTGCATTACACATATTTTGTACATTATTGTATTTTTTTTAAGTTTTTATTTAATTTGGAGAGGGAGAGGGAGAACAAGTGGGAGAGGGGCAGAGAGGAAGAGACAATCCCAAGCAGGCTCCGTACTCTCACAGAGCCCAATGCAGGGCTTGATCTCACAAACTGTGAGATCATGACCTAAGACAAAATCAAGAGTTGGACACTTACTGAGCCACCCAGGCGCCCCATATAACTGTATTATTAAGAAAATCATAAGGAAAATATATAGTATCATACTATATTTATAAAAAAGTTTGCCTGTGGGCTCCTGGCTGGTTCAGGTTGCTGGAACATGTCATTCTTGTGAGTTCGAGCCCTATGTTGTATGTAGAGATTACTTAAAAAAAACCTTTTCTATGTGGAATTTAAGAAACTTAACAGAGGATCATAGAGGAAGGGAAGGAAAAATAGAGAGGCAAACTATAAGAGACATTTTTTTTTTTTCCAACAATTTTTGAGAAAGAGCACACGCAGGGGAAGGGCAGAGAGAGGGAGACATAGAATCTGAAGCAGTCTCCAGGCTCTGAGCTGTTAATGCAGAGCCTGATGTGGGGCTTGAACCCATAAACTGAGTCTTTGAACTCTTTAGAGATTTTGTGCCCTATTTCCACTAAACGATACTTTGTGGAATTTAACCACCAGAAAGGCCCACAGAGAAACTGAGGCCCTGAAATATAGTCACTTTTCTACATACCTGACACTTTTTTCTCTTTTGACCCTGAACCTTTCTTGAGAGGGGCAGAGAGAGAGGGAGACACAGACTCTGAAACAGGCTTCAGGCTCTGAGCGGTCAGCACAGAGCCCTATGCAGGGCTTGAACACACAAGCTGTGACATCATGACCTGAGCTGAAGTCAGACGCTTAACCGACTGAGCCACCCAGGCACCCCAGTGCAAGAAATAAATTTAAAACCCCATTCAAAATCCTATCCCTCTGTAGGTTTTACCTGAAGAATGGGGTTCTGTGTAGATGTTGGCAGAGTTAATGTTATTATATTAAAAGCCAAAATTGTAATTATTATACTCCTGTTTAGGTTTACTTTTGGACATCAAGCCCATCATTACCAGCCAGTGAAGAAGGATTTCAGCCTATGCCCTCAATTACAATAAGACCACCAGATGACCAACATCTTCCTACTGCAAACACTTGTATTTCTCGACTTTACGTCCCACTCTATTCCTCTAAACAGATTCTCAAACAGAAGTTGCTACTCGCCATTAAGACCAAGAATTTTGGTTTTGTGTAGAGTATAAAAAGTGTGTATTGCTGTGTAATATTACTAGGTAATTTTGTAGATTTTTTTCCATTTGTCTATAAAAGTTTATGGAAGTTAATGCTGTCACACCCTGGTGGTACCTTAAAGAGATTAAATGCAAACATTCCTTGCTGAGTTTGTAGCTTAAAGGCCTGAGGAGCACTAGCAACATTTGACTATAATGGTTTGCTAGTCAACAACTTCTGGGTCTAACCCCAGCCAAAGATGACAGCAGAACAACATAATTTACACTGTGATTTATCTTTTTGCTGAGGGGAAAAATGTAAAATGTTCTGAAAATTCACTGCTGCCTTTGTGGAAAGTGTTTCAGCAAAGGTTCTTGTATAGAGGGAATAGGGAATTTCAAAATAAAAAATTAAGTATGTTCTGTGTTTTCATTTTAACTTTTTTTATGGTGTTTAATTTGTGGTTGGCTGCAATTGTGTATCATGTATGTGGAACTTGTAAAAAGTTCTGGACATTCAAATCTTAGAGATGAAATCACTTTTACCTATGAAAACCACTTTTATTGCGGTTTATTTTAGCTGCATTGAGCTCTAGGATATTAAATGATATCACTAATATTTTGCATGTAATTTGTTCATTTGAGTAAGGGCACTTTTTTTGTACATATGATGGGGCCAATGCACAATACTTTATCACAATCAACTTTTTTTTCTTTGTATCCCTATTTCAATGAGCAGTCAGTCAGGAGGTTACTGCACTTCAGTTCTAACTAGACATTTGTACTAAGGTATTTCAGTTATGTAAACTCAGCCTGGGCACTTTCTGATAACTGTAAAATGTTTTATAAGATCATGATTATTGAAGATACATTTTGGAAAATTTTAAATGTTCGTGAGCAGCTTAACTACTTTTGTATCTAGCCTTTTTTAAGTATCTTGTTACATTTACTTTTTTAAATAAAGAAATTACAGAAGAAATGTCAAGTAATATTGAAGAAACAATAGTTTTTATTTATGTAGTTGTACATTTTTAAACTAAGGGTAATACACCAACATGGTTGTGTGCATAAAATTTTTTGATTTAAAGAACTGAAAGTTTATATACACATGGACTATAAGAAAGAGAAGTAAATTAGTCCACATTTTACAGTTAGCAGAGAATCCTGAATGGCACTGGCCAGGCCACCTTTTCTTTTTACAAATGAGGGACGTGAAGTGTGACCCTTACTTGGCATAGGAAGTTAACTCACTCACTTATACTTAGTAACTAAGTGACAGGTTCTTTTTTTGATGACCCATTAATTATGTAGCCTAGTACCAATCTCTAAATTCTTATGGTTTTAGTAGCTTTACTCAATGGCATAAAGAACACTGTTTTCTTCACTAAGTCTTCAAAGGTGACTTAAAACTAGTCACTTTACATATTGAAAATGAGAGAAATTCTCTGAAATCTCTACCTTTCAATTCCTTTAGAGGACTCCTAGCCTTTGGGATGTTTTTCATGTTCAAAGGCACTATGCATTTATTATATAACTTCCTGCAGAAGACTGAACCATGTGATATTCTCAGCCCTGCTGACACAAATATTAAAAACTAAAATGATAGTAGTGAAACTCATTGTATTACTTAAAAGTTACACAACATGCTGTATTAGATTTGTGTAAATTAACCAAAGGTTATTTTACAAAGTGAGACATTGGTTTTTATGTCTAAATGCTATTTCTGAATAAATGAAATAGTAATTAGATTAAGAGCTAATTATCATCAGTGTGTCTGAAAGAGATAAAATTTATTTATCATCTTAACTTCTGTATGCACATGATGGGATAAAATATTAAATGAAAACAAACTAGATATGATTAGGACATTTGAAACCCTAATTGTGAACTTATTTTTAATAGTTATTGAAAGAATGAAAATATTTAAAATAATGCACAATGTCTTAAGTCTTCCTAAATCAAGATTTTGGTTAAATGCTTTTAGGATTATTAAAAGCAGAGTGAGTTTTTTTTTTTTTGTTTTTTTTTGGTTTTGTTTTTTAAGTAAAGCATAAAATGGTTCTAAATGGAAAATAAAGTCATGTAAAATAAAGTTCTCTTTTGGTCTTGTTTAGTGATTAAATCTAATAGAATTGAAAACAAATTTAGGAAGAGAAGACCAAGAATGAACTTTACCAAGGGGTTTTCAATGTTTTCCTATTTTTGCCTTTTTTTTCCATTAAATCATCTGAATATCTTGACTATCCAGTATAATAGTAGCTTACTGAGACAGACTTGAGTTTTTAAATAGTATGGTATCAGTCACTAGTACTTAAGATGATTATTTTTGTCTGTTTAAAGGTAGCCAGTGATTTCTAGGTCTGAACTCCAACAGATCTTCCTGTGAAGTAGTAGTTCTCGTGATACTTTATACCTAAGATTCCCTGGTAGAGCTTGTTAGTGCAGATTTCCTAATCTTTGCCCATCCTTTCAATCACATTCTGATTCAGTAAACCTTAAGTGGAGTACAGAAATCTTTATTCTTAAAACAGAATCCCAAGTGATATTTTCAGTGTTTACATTAACCTAAGTGGGTAGGCATGGACAGAGATGAATTCTCCTCTAAACATCATTTAGAGATGTATTAAAAATGTGATTTGTCTATTCATCTCAAGATAAAGCAAATTGTTACCTCTTAGAATTAAAAAAAAAAAACTGCATTGCTAGGACTGTGCAACATGAAATTTCTCCTTTTATTATTTCCTGTGTGCCAGGCACTTTGTCAAGTGCTTTACACATAATATCTCATTTTATCCTTTGAGATAGGGGCTATTGCCATCCTCACAAGCAGGAAACTAGACACAGGTTAAACAACTTGCTCCAGTTTACACAGCTAATAAGTGCTGGAGTAAAAGATTCTAGGCATTCTGGAGCTTGCATTCCTAAACACTGGGCTATACAATTTTGTGGAAGGTATGGTTATAAGCGAGTTGGTCATTAAGGGTTCTGATACCCAATTCATGTGTGTGTATGCACATATGTGTATGTAGGGGATTTCTTCCATACCACCAAGCATTGGGCTGTAATATTTTGTGGATGGTATGCTTATAAGCAAGTTGGTCATTAAGGGTTCTGATACCCAATACCAGTGTGTGTGAGTGTGTGTGTGTGTAGGGGACTTCCTCCATCCACCAAGCGATGCACCAACACTAGCACAATTTATCTCATTCTGACGCTGTCTACCTGGAAGTAGCATCAGATTCCACAGGTCAAGGGCTCAGTCCCACAAGACTGCTCTGCCCTTCATTTCAGATATCAATTGCAAGCCCAGGTTGTTACCTGTACCTGTGACTGACGAGCTGTAAATCAGAGGTTCCTATGAACCTCTCATTGGGTATTAATGATTCTCTAGAGTGGCTCACCAAATTCAGGTTTATTATAAAAGGCTATAACTCAGGAACAACCAGATGGAAGATGAGCATAGGACAAAACACATATTAAAGGGTATGGAGCTTCCATGCCCTCTCAGAGCATGTGACTCTTCCTGCATCTCCACATGTTCACCAACCTGGAAGCTCCTTGAACCCTTTGGGTTTTTATGGAGGCTTCATTACATAGACTAAGTCATTGTCCATTGATGACTGATTGAACCTTCCAGCACCTTTCTCCTCTCCAGAAGTGTGTGTGTGCATGGCAAGGTGGGACTGAAAGTTCCAACCCTGTAATCACATGGGATCAATTGGCAACTAGCTCCCAGGCTTAGATGTGGTCCAGAAGGTAGCTCATTAATATAACAAAAGACACCTTTACTACTCTCCTTACTTAAATTCCAAGGGTTTTAGAAGGTCAAAAGATACTGGCTTATTACTAGAATTCCATTCAGTCAATATCTAGTCCATCAATCATATCATGAAAAATATTTCCCAGGGCAAGACCACTCAGGTCTGTAAGCTTCCATTGTATCTTGTCAGGTTCCAAAAGCAGGAGTAGTGTCAGAAATAAATGCCTTCACCCTTTCAGGCAGCTGGTATCATCAGCACCACCATATGGTGGTTCCTGTGTGGTTACTTGCTCTGAGTCTCTTTCTAGGTGTTAAAGTAATACTGGATTTCCCTCATTACATAAACCATTTATTCATCCTTTTACCCATAGCTGCTATTTTTCCTTCTCTCCATTTATACCCAAACTTTAACTTTGGAAGGGATATTAGGTTTGGCCACTGTGCTTGTCTAGATTGCATGCACCAACAGTGGTCTGGCGTCCGTCCCCTCAAGTCCAGTTCTGTTCAAATAAGGTTACACAAGTGTAAAACTAATGGACTATTTTTATTCTCAGGCAATACAGCTGAATTCAGTTAGCCCCAATTTGTTAGACGGGGTGAAGGTACATCCTGCCTCATCAGGCCCTTAGGAATTGTGACATAAAGGTTAAAAGCACAGTTACAATCTCTTGCTTAAGAATTATCCCTGCTTCCAGCCCTTGTAGTTGCAATAGGCCTGAGCTATGACCAACGCATCAAGTTGGAGGAAAAAAAGTGGAAGTGATGTCAGAAAGAATATCAGCACCTTCCCCCCGCCTCTTTTCCCTGGATCCAACAGAAAAACAAACACAAACACAAATCTATCTAGCAGGGACACTCCCTTAGCCCCACTCATGTTAATGTTGAGTGTCCGTGCATAACTCATAAAGGCATGTAAGCCTTCATCCATTTACTTCCCCGTTTTAGACAACCAATGTTTTAATTGACCATTCCAATCCTCTAGCAAACTATTTTTCTGAGGGGGAATATCTCTGCCCATTGTTGGATATTATGGGCTATAAAGTATGTTTGCTCCCTGGTCTGAAGACGTGACAACTAGTTATCCAAATTGGTGCAATATTTGTCCTGGTTCTTTCATAATACTCTGAGTATCTGCATCTACCACTGGGTATGCAAAGCCCACTCCACAGTAAGGATCTATTCTTGTCAGGACCCATCCGTAGCCCCCCCACAGCTACCAGCATCATTCTGACTTGCCAGCTATGTTCAGGGCCATCCAACCAGAGA